ATTGGCAGCGTGTGGCCAACCTGGTTGGCCAGGCTACTGCTTTTGGTGGAAGGTGCACCGCATTACTGTACAGTACGTCCTCTGTGAAATACTATACCACAAAACAACCTATCAACAGGAAGTTAGTGGGGTTTTTCCAGCACCCATACGTCACTGGTAAACTGAAAATTGTAAAACTGCAAACACAAGCCGGCGGATGAATGGAATGCCTTCGTAAACTGTGCCACTTCACAAGCTGCGATTCACTTTTCAAATCGTTAAAGTACAGCCAACCTCAAGACCGGAGAGCTTTGAACAAAATATGCATGGGTTTAAAGATAAAAATAATCGGTGATTATTTCATGGCGTTGACTTGCTTTTCCGCTTGTCGACACATAAAACTGGAGTTGTGGCACATGCAAGCCAGTCCACTGCTGGATGAGGGCTTCCCCACGGTATGCGGGTCGTTCACCATACTTCACCAATTGAAGTTACACGTGGACAACTTATCTGTCCAGTGATCGAGAAATTCGGTGTAAGATTTCACTGAGCGGTTAACGTTATACCCCCTTCTCGTCTTCATGTTGCGCCCACGCTTGGCGTGCCGTCCCATACAAAAGTTGTGAACATGCATTAGTTGAGTTCTGCTCCATTATTTTCGAGACAGTGTTTTGTTATTGTAAATTGGGCCGGATGCACGTGTGTGGTTATGTCAGGAATGCCCCTCCTTCCTCTTGACTCTTCCCCCAAACTTCCGATTTAAGATTAAAAATAGCGTTTGTGGAATATCTGCAAGAGGGTCTTCCCTAGCTCAAAACTAGCTTTTGACAGTCCATATCGTTGATTGTATGCCATAATAATAATACAAATTGTTTCCAGTAAATTAATTGAAAATGCTTTCAAATGAATAAATTACCTGCAGAAAACCTTGCTTTAAAAAAAATCGTACAAGGCTAATAACACAAGTGGCAAGTGATATCTGAAACGGTGCCGAGCCTCCCTTTAACAGCCCGGTGGTGGAGGCAGCATTAAAGATGTAGTAGCCTTTTCGATATGGGGCCATCCATTTTATCCACGTGGGCTTCGATAACAACAAACAAACCTGGCAAACAACCCCACTCATTGAAAACGAGGAAAAGAGACTTAGTCACTGCTCGAACGCGACCCAAGCTATCAGGAGCACGTCAAGCTGTGTAGGTGTGTGGTGTGTGGTGCCTGCTTGCTCTAAAGGCTATTCCCTCACCACCAATGTCGTCACCACCACCCTCATTCAACCTCGAACAGACTATTGCCTCGAGCAAGGGTTGAGCATGGAGAGCGGTGAAAGGGGAAAGTCCCTGCAATTGCGTAAAGGCTGGCCTGAAGCGAGGGCGAGGCAAGGACCGTGCAAGTACTGTACAACTCTATCGATGTCCCAAGCTCAGAGGGAGCCCCACATTCACAGATCTGTGAATATCGATTGATTCCTGTGATCAATACTAAATCTGGGGTGCATGGCAATGTCAATTTGTGGTTCATATCTCAACTCAGTTCATTTAATGAAAAAAATGTTGATCCCACCTTTTCCACAAAGCAAATCTAGACACATTTTTCATATATGTTACAGCATACTATAAATTGCAGTATACTGTAACAAAGTTCAACATAATATTGGTACTATACCAGATCTCGGTACGAATCAATTTATGCTGCCACACGAACACAGATGCCAATTCCCCCCACACTGTCTGGGCGAGTTCAGCAATTGGCATCTGTGTTGCCCCCTTGTCTGGGTCAACTCCAGATAGGGGGGAGGCAACTCTATTCCTGTCTCTGTCTTAAACAAAACTTAGCGGGAGCAGGAGCTCGGTGACTATTACACACAATGGGTAAATTCTAAGCCGGGGAAAAGTTTGATCCGTTCGTGACATCAGTGACGCGTGGGTGAGAATGAATGATGGCCGGCCTCCCAGCCTCTGGGTCCCCCCCCCCCCCCCACATTACAGCACCGAAAGCCCAACAACACATCTATCTCACACACACACACGTAGCTGTAACTCATTTGCTACTGTATAACTTGTTTATTCGCGCGTGTTGTTTTTTCTCTCTCTTATTCCCCCCGCCCTTGCACTCTCCCCTGCGCAAATCGAGTGATGTGAGCAGCGGCCGTGGGTTTCCCCCCCCCCCCCCCGTCGCATCACGGCGTGACGTCGGTGGAGCGATTTGACTGAGCCGAGAGTCTGCGATGCCCTGCCCCGGGGAGGTCCCAGCCATCTCCAAACCTTCCTCATTTTGACGCTAATTCTGGCACCCTCTTTGCGGACACTGAATGCATTTGGGGGTTGGGTGGGAGGGGGACACACACGCACACGATACCGAAATGTTGAAATCAAAAGTTTGGAGTTGTATTTTTGGTGGCTTCTTTTGTGAATGACGTAGACGTTGGCTATTTTTGGCCGTTTGACATTTTCGTGTTTTTGGTAACACTGTTGTGCCTTCGTGTAAAACATAAAAAAAAGTACAGAACGTCCTCTAGCAAGAGTCCGCGAGAGTCTTTTTCGTGAACTCGTGTGGTGCAGTACTTGCTGAACCTTGTTAAAGTTCACATCGGGATAAACGACAGGCACTCTGTGTTGCTTGTGGAACTGAAGGGGGATGCTAATGATTTACCTCTGCCTGGGCTTCCGCCTCCCAAGGCCGTAATTATAATATTCAAATATGCTCCAAATGTCCCTCCCCCCCCAGTATATTGCTATAAAATAATTTAAAATAATAATTGCTATGCTATGTAAGTAAAAACAACAATTTGCTAAACCTTGGCCACAATGTCTGGACTTGTCTTCATAATAATGCATAATTTGTTTGTATTATTGTGGTTATGGTTGTATTTTATTAATCCCTAATCTCTGCCATTACATACAATGAAACAAGAAAAGGTAAAGAATAAAAACAGAGCAATGGAATACAATATACTATTAGACATTATTGTAATAAATAGTTAATCCCATGTGTCAGTGAATTTTTAAATATTTTAGGCAGGAAATTAGTTTTAAAATTTAGATTTTTCTGGGGGGGGGGGGTCCCCAGACTTGGTCCCCCCCAAATGTTGACTCCATGGCTACGGCCTTGCCGCCTCCAAACTTGTATTTTAAACAAACCCACAAAGCAAGCAGAATCAGAATATAATGTGAATGTGATAAGCTATAAAGCTCTCAGTCGGGGTGGGTCAACACACGTTGCACAATCCGCATTTGGAATGTTTACCCGCATGTTACGACCCCAAGACGGATGCTTTTCGTTTATCAATTTGTGATAAAGTGCACATTTCCTCACTCCAGATTTACAACTTAACTGTTATGGTTGTGAATTTGTTGTGCTTTGTGTGTGTGTTTTTTTAAAGATTGGAAATCGCTGTGGAACAACTTGTTGCGAAATAAGACCACGCAATCTCTATTCGTCTCTCGTATAAAGGGGTAAAAGTCCCCTGCCCGCAACTTCACACGTGCACGAAAGATACACAAATGCCTTGGCCAGTGGTGGAAACTCCGCAGCCTTGACGGCGAACCCAGCGCATCCAATGTACAACCACACTCATACAAACAAAACACGACTTCTGGTATTGATGAAGCAAGTGACACATTATTAACGCAGTATATTTTTAGATGTGCCGGGAATCATTCAATTTTAAGGTCCCAATAAGCATTCTCTATCCACTGTTGGATTTAGTAATACTTTTAACAAGAAATATTATGTATTTGGCCGTAACTCAACAGCTATATATTAAAAAAATATATATCACTTATGCCTATTTACAAAACTGGGGCCATGATAAAACATAAAAAAATGCTATTCCTATCAGACCCCCATTGTACAAATAGGTGCGGTCTCCAACTCTTATTATCCACTGTATTATCTCTCTCCACGTTCCCGGAACGTCGCCTGTGATGTTTCGCTGTACGGCCACACACACACACACGCGCTGCGTATTGGGGACACGAGACGTCGTTGTTGCTGTGTTCACTGCTGGGAACGTAGCTGTTGATGTCGCTGCATTCACTGATGAGAACGTTGTTGTTGTTGCTGTGTTCACTGATGAGAACGTTGTTGTGTTTGTGTGTTCACTGCTGGGCAGTTGCTCTCCCTTCTTTTCCCGTTGTGTTGCTCGTGCCCTGGCTGAGTCTTCTACCCCTTCTAAATTCGGGACCAGGTTAACCACTCCTTTCATCATCATCATCCTCCTCCACTCGTCACGACTAATTAATTAAATATAATTAAGGACCCCCCACCGTCTCAATGAATGGGGGGGTCGCTGCATGGAGCCAGCAGCGAGAAACGTGGAGCTGGAACGCGGCCGCCATGACAGATTCACCAGCGTGGGTGGGGGCGGGGGGGGTGCGTATCTCTACCAATCACGTTCGCCGAGACGGCGCACGCGGGGTGAGGTGTGGGGGGGCGCGTATCGGCCAATCACGTTCGCCGAGACGGCGCACGCGGGTTATGGTGGGGAGGGTGGTGTGAACCGCCGCGCCTGTAACGTCGCGCCCTATTGGCTGTCTATAACTTCCGAGTCTCGTGCCCCCGCCCCCCTCCCGTCTCCCCCCCCCCACTGCCCCCCCCCGGCCCCCCCCCGCCCGGTTCAACGTGGCCGCCGCCTCCACTACTACCGCAGCAGCAGCCGCCGCCTCCTCCTCCTCCTTCGCGATGCCGTCCAAGAAGAAAAAGTACAACGCCAGGTTCCCGCCGGTGGGTGCCTTCCACTCCGCCTAGACCCCCGGCGGCCCACCGTGGCTCTACCCAGCTCGGCCGGGCGGTCGTGGATTGCCGGGGCCGCTCGTGGGTCGAGGTGGTGGTGGGTGGGTGGGTGGGGGGCAGAAGGCGGCCCAGGTCGCCCACTCTGCCCCACGCCGCCGCCGCCGCCACCCCGCGAGCTTAGGCCCAGGCACCTGGACTCGGATAGTTTCGCCCGCGGAAGGAGGCGCTCGATCCCCGGGCGGGGGAGGTGCGCGTCTCGCCGCGCTCTCTCCGGCCTCCTCCTTTTCCCCATCGTCCGTGCAGGCCCTCCGCGTGTCGCCTGGTGTCTTAACGTCCATTGTCGGCATACATAAGCCATTGTTCGCGCCTGCTATTACCTACTGTTATGTTTGCCAGTGCCTTTGAGCCATTGTCTGGGCACGGCTAGTGAAAGCTTACTTTTCACTGTCATCACAACCAGTTATTTTCTGAAAGCGGAGACCCTCTCTTTGTATCATATTTAGCCATTGATCCATTTAGCGATGTATAATGTGTGCTTATCCACTGCCAGATGAAGGATTCCCAGTCGACTAATGTGTTTGCATTGCTGAATAAATGAATTGTCGTCAGCCATTGTCGTGTAATCATCATCAGCCCTCGTCTGTGCACGGCTACTTACACTCGGTTTATCCAATGTTTGACGAAGGCTGCTTTGTTATGCCAGGGAGAAGTAATGCGCAGTGAACCGCGCCGCCTGAGTTCAATTCCTTGCCACGGCTAACATCAGTTGTGGCTCACAATCCGAACCGACCGTGTGGCATTCCTACTTCACCATCTCCCATTGGCCAGCGAGGTGAAGTATGGTCAGACAACCCCCGTGACCGACAGCGTGGGGAGGCTTTCAAATGTCAATGGGTTGACCACAAAAGGCTGTAAGTCATTCGGAGCAACCGTTTAGGCTTAGCCACTGCTGTTTGGCGACTTAATGAGCATTATTCACTTTGGAAGGGCAAGCATCCTTATTTCATGCACCGTTATCAACATGCTGGATGAGGCCGTACCTGCAGGCCGGTTAAGACATGAAGATTTTTCACTCAGAATCCTTAGGAATCATTGAGCGCGCGTCTCCGCACTGCTGTATGAAGGCATGCACTGAATATCACCGTCAGCCAATGTCTAGATTTTTAGGCAAGACATCATGGTTAGCGCTTTGCAGTCCACTGGTTTATGAAGGCAACACCACCATCTTCGTTAGTCATTGCCTATCTGCTATTTGATGGAATGTTTCCCATCATCCAGCTTTGAATTGCGGGCCATGCCCTCCCTGTGCTGGATTTCCATGACTGAGATGTAATTTAAGTGTTTTGGACTTTATGGGTTTTACTTCTCCTTTATAGTGCACGGTGTTGTGATAATCTTGAAACACCCTTAGCATCATCAACATCTGGCATTGTGCAGCAACTCATAATGAACATCTACATCATCCTTGTCTGTGGTCTACTAGATAAAAAACGTGATCGCATGATTGTTCACCGATGTATGAAAGGCTCTCCATCTCGAAATCTACGTTATCTGCTTTAAGCCGTTTGCGCTGCTGTCATTCGAATCACCAACTACTGCCAGTGTCTGTCCACTGATAAATGAATGCATCGCCGGGAAAATACCGTCAACTACTGTTTATTGACTAGGTATAAACCTCGTTTTCAGTCATTGTTTTTCTACTGTTGTATGAAGGCCTCCTCACACCACCGCGGTCTCAGAGTCCTGCAGTTTTACAATCCATCTGACTGCAATGTATGATATGCGTCACACCAACAAGTGCAAATTGGCCATCTGTGTCACAGTTTTCTAATTTGCCTGTTTTGTTCACTTATGTGCTGCTTATCCGAGTAAAAAAAACGTTTGGAATAAAAGAATAAACATTCACAGCCCTTTTGGCAATCCACTTCTGGATAAAGGCCTCCAAAAGCATCATTGGTAATGAGTTATTTGACCATGCTGCACCACACTGGTCAGTCAGTGGCTGTTGGTGAAGGGAGGGCCCCTGACCGTGTCGGATATCACTGTCCACTCATGTTGGCCGTGGACAGGAATCAAATTCGGGTTACAGGGTTTATAGCACCGTGTGCTAACCACTTTGCCTCTGCACCCCTCCCCACCACCCGAAATGTTAGCCTACTATACAGTATATGTATCTTGGAGATGTTTTTAATGACAACGGTGATGAATTGTCAACTCCTATAGCAGGCGGTGCTTGTCTTGTGTGGACATTGCAGGCCTGTGTGGTTTATGCCTCCGCAAAATAATGTGTTTAATCTTAATGCCTATGCCCTGTTACTAGGTGAAATTTAAAACAGCCGCTTTTATGTCGTGCAGGTATCCGAATCGCATGAGAGCTTTTGAAATGACATCAGTGAGGTGGTGATCTCCCATAGAAGTCAGCAGGGTGTTTTCAATTTGCCTGGGGCATGGCGTGACGAAGCTGCCGAGTGGGATCATGTTTTGCACGATTTTTAACTGTGGGTAAATACGTCATTGTTGGTAATTACCAGGAAATGTTCGGGGGTGGTTACTGCTACCAGTGCGTACACCCAACAACACTTGTCACAAGATGTGGTCGCTGATAAATGTCAACGCTGCATTGCACTTTGCATTTCGAATTCACGAGGGTGTAAGTTTAACATATGAACAAGCGATTACCTGTTCATGAAACGAATTTCATATAAAACTGTAACATGTTTCGTTAGGAATGTGTACTATATTCTAATGTGCCTGTATAGTCACACTGCCATAACTGTTTTTTGTTCTCTGTTTCGTTTCATTTGAATTCCTTCAAACATTTCCATTGTCCAATTGCATTACATTACCAGTTATATTCTTAGTTCTTTCGGTAAAGTCACGTTGAAGGGAAAACAATAAAATAATAAAATATATCTAAAACATAAAAATGAATACATGTTTAGGCAAACAGCCATCGATGCTCATGTTTTGGTTGACAAGTGGAAACTGTATGAAGTGTTTGTGCATTTTAGGCGAGAATAAAGAAGATCATGCAAACAGATGAAGAAGTCGGGAAAGTGGCAGCTGCTGTCCCTGTCATAATCTGTATCCTTAAGTCTTATTCTTCCGTGAAGATCGGTTGTTGGCCTTTTTATGTCAGGTTCATGAATGTGATGCAGTCATCTTGGTCGTATGTCTGCGTGTGCATCTTCGGCACGTTCCTGGATTTTCCTTGACAAGTGCTCCCAGCTCGGGCCCTGGAGCTGTTTTTAGAGTCTCTCTTAACCAAAGCCTGCCAAGTAACGCAGTCTCGAAATGCGAAGACCATGACCACATCCCACCTGTGAGCACATGGGGCTCGAAAGCGCCCCGCGTTTTGGAGACATTGTTAGAAATTACAGAATTTTTCTACTTGCGTTTCAGTAAATTGTGCTTATGTACATGATATTTAAAGTACCATCAACTACTGCTATTTTTCACTGTTGTAATATTGTAAAAACTAGAAAGTTGCTGTAAAAAACAATTAAAAGCACAATTAATTTACCACAGTCATCTCAACATCATTTTTACATCGTGACACTTGCAGCTGTGACTGCCTCCGTGCGAGGTGGTCCCAGCAGCAGCCAGTGACCTTGCTGTGTTGTGATACGGAGCAGGAAGCAGTGCATCGAGGCTGAGCAGCAGTTTGATTTCCTGAAGGACCTCGTCTCGTCCGTGCCCGACGTTCAGGGGGAGACGGAGGAGACCAATGCCGACGGGGAGAAGGTCGTCAAAAGGTGCCCGCGCCCGGCGTTTCACACTGGTTGCACAATCACGGTTTCAATTTTGTGTTGATGTAGTTTCCTTGATTTAATCGGGAGACGAAATTCGCCCTTTGCGACGCACGAAAGGTTGCCTCTGGCAAGGGTGAATTAATTTTATATGCAAAGAATATTTTAGACATTTTAAATATAACACATCTATATTAAATTTAACGATAATTGAAACCAATTTGAAGAACGCTAAGTAAAGAAGTAGAATGGAACTTTAAAGTTATATTTATACAAAAATTCGAATGCAATGTCTGCAAAGGAAAAGCGACTAGATTAGTCAAGTAAAGGCAGTGGAGAAAATGGGACAGTGTAATAACATGTTTTGCAAATTAGCTTAAGGCAGCCGAAAAACATTTAAACAAAGGCGGGCTAATGACAATTTGAGCACGGCTCGCAGAGAAAACGTAAAACCCCACCGAATGTTGTGCATCCCCGTCGTGTGCACGTGTGGATCGCGCCTTTAGTTCTGTAATTCCTGGCACTTATTTAATTTCTGCGTGTGGCTTAACCACAACGCATGTATTAAAATGAGTGTTTTGATGAACAAAAAAAAAACACATTTCAATATGACCTTTACTCTTTTGTGTGCAGGGGAAGACCTTTGGCAATTCGCGACCGGGAGTTCTGCAGGGAGTGAGTGCCACTGTGGTTTTCTTGAGAAAAAACACTTGAACTGTAAATGCGTCGCCCGCACGGGTTTCCCCAAGCAGCATGCAATCATCGGTAACGTAACCCTATTTATATTTTACGAATTTAAACATCTGCTGGTGTGTGGTGATAACGAAAATGGTTTTGGTGTTCCCTTTGAAACCACTTCCCCGTGGAACCCTTCCTCCCTGCAGCGTCAGGAGAGGTGGCCCAGGACGAAAAAATTCAAACGGAGAGAGGAGTGGAGTTGGAGCAAAATCCAAAGACAAGAAGCAGTCTGAGTCGGACTCAGACCAGGAGGTTAGATTGCTGCTGCTGTTGGCATGTACACTGGGAACATTTTACACAGGCTTCATCTTTTCCCCAACGATTCTAATTGTCACTTGTCATGGCATGAGATAAAAAAAAATTCTCGCAGCTAGCGGTGTACCTTGCTGTGTTAACTGAGATGTTAACTCTTCGTGGTCATTGTGGCTACTTCTCTTTATTATTCTTTAAAATAAGATTATTTTAACCCTGTCCCACCCCTAATTATATTACAATTATGGTTGTTGGCTTCATGAGACGAAGATCTTTCCATACGGAACACTCACAGCAAGCGGTACATCTATTACAACGTTTATGGTGCTGGTTGTTGCGGGCCGTTTGCATGTTGGGCCTATGCTCGGCAATTATAAAAACATTTTTTCAGAGAAGGACCTGGGAAGATGATGTTACAGAACTTATTCCGAGTCATTTCAATAGTCCTCTTTACACACTCGGTTCGCCTATTACATGCCCTGCAAAGACACTGCATTGTATGTCAATCACATGTGCTTTGCGCTAAGAATCCAGTTGCTCGACTTCAATTCCTAGCCACGGCGAGTGATTTTTAACCCCCGCCTTCAGCAACCCGCACTGACCAGTGTGAAGTATGGTCAAACGACCGACTTGAGACAAGTAGGTGTTCATCATCCAGCAGTGAGTGACAAAGGGCCGAACAGACATGTAATTAGTTTTGTGCACGTGCTGTGTCTACAGGAGGGCTCAGAGGAGACCGTGTCGGAGGATGAGGACGAGGAGGCGTCGCATTCCAGTGCTGACAAAGCAGGAAACATGGCCAAGTAAGACGTGTGTGTGGAATTTTGCCCCCTAAACGGGATGAATCGCCCACTCTCTCCCTTTCCCGACAGGTCTTCACACCATTAGCTGTTGAGAAAACTTCGTAATGTAAAAGTTAATGCGGCTGTTGAAGAGGGGCATTCGGCATGAGTTGGAGGCACGCGCTCAACTGCGTTAATTACTGTAGGCCGTGTGTTAGGATTGCTTGCCAATTTTGGTTGTGTACAGTTCGTGGGTAATTATCGTGCATACGGGCTCATCTTTAAAAAGGATGCTAATTAGTTTGTCGAGCCTGGAAACAACAATGTGATATCCTATGTTTCTAAGACCTTCGGGTGGAAGCGCACTGCTAACACTGATGCCTCACAAGAAGAAGGTCCTGAGTTCGATTCCTGACTGGCAACTTTCTGTGCGAGTTGTTTTGTATGTTTTCCCTCTTTTCTGCATGGGTTTTCTCCCGGTTTTTTCCAGTTTCCCCCCCCCCCATAGCAAAAACAAATACAATTAAATATCGACTTAAAGCTTTCCTGACTGCAGGAATTCATATCCTTTGTGTCTTTCGGTAAAGTCACGTAGATAGGTTCGAAGAAAATAACAAAAAACTAAGATGTTTCGATCGCAAACTACGACGTTTCAATCGCAACACAAGTGTTCCTGATGACGAACACTTGTGTTGCGATCGAAACGTCGTTTTTTTCTTTGAACCTATCTACGTGACTTTACCGAAAGACCCAAAATAACAAATACAATGTAACTTGCTTAGGCCAAATATCTCACTGCTGAAAAATTACCTGCATAGTATTCAATTGAGATTATACACAGCAACATCTCCCCCCTCCCCCCGACTGGAAACTTGGAAGGATCCTCCTGAAAGACTCTTATAAAAAACGTGCCTGCATTCAAAACATACGTCTAGTGGTGGTGTGATGTAAAAGTTGTGCATTGAGACCCACATGAATCATAATGATTAAAATCAACAATGTGTTATGTTGCATTTTAATTTCGTGAAAAACACAGCAGCAGCACATTTGGAGGTCAGTTTTTTTTTTACAAAGCAGTGACGCGCTTTACAAGATAGCAATCATGCATTACACTATTTCATGACCTGCATGAAAATATGCAAAAATGTTGAATACGAAAGTAAATCTTGTAAAATTAATTCATGCAAAATAGAACTAAAGTACTCTTTGGTTCTATTGGGTAAAGTCACGTAGGTAAAAAAATTACCTACGTGACTTTACCCAATACAACCAAAGAGTATGGCTCCTAGCAGTCACGAAAGCTTTAAATCTAGAAAAGAACTAAAGTAATATGCACAAATGCACGTCGGTGTGATACTTTTGACACCTTCACAACGATTCCAGCCGTGTACACAGCAACGAGGCGTGTACGCAGGGACTCATCCTTGTGCTATGCTTCTCAAGCCAAAGTGGAACTATGATTAATAAACCTATTTTAGCCTGACCTAGGTCACCAATATAACAAGCTTTTAGTAAAAAATAGTCGATCAGACATTCATTGATAGGTGTCTGAAGCGAGCAATCGCAACCAACTCCTTTTTTACTCATTTGTCAATTCCAGGGCACATTAGGCACTCTGAATGTTGCCGACTTGGTGAATTCATAATCCATTTAATACTTTAAATTTTAAAGTTCTAAGTAGAATGAAACAACTTTTTCAATATGGCAATGTAATGGTGTCATACATAATATAGTTGGTTGGTCACATTCATCATTGTTGTCCAATGGCATCGCACTCAAATGTAATCATTGGTCCCGGTCAACCCCAAGTGTGGCTTAACCAGCTATTACGCAAATAGTGATGCCAGATGGGACAAACTTGCCATCAGCCCTATTGTCATGCATCTGCTCCTATAGGTTGGGGGTTAGGCTTACAGCAAGCACCCTTCACCTGGAAAAAGTTTTCAATTCCTATGAAATGCAGAAACATGGGGAAAAAAAACATCTTATTAGACTCAATATAGGTGACACTGATGATGATTAATATAAGATGGATGTAGCGAATGCTGATGATAGAATAATACCCAATGGATGTAGGTGGTGGCGACGACGAATAATACCCAGTGGATGGAGGTGTTGGTGGCGACGACGAATAATACCCAGTGGATGGAGGTGTTGGTGGCGATGATGAATAATACCCGGTGGATGTTAGTTATGCAGCTGCTCTGTTATTTTTTTTGCTGCGCCACAGCCTCGCTGGAGCGAGCGCGCCGGGCTGCCGCTTCTTCCCGCTGCCTGTGCCGAGCGTCGCCATGCCGACCCCGCCGGTGGCGCGCCCACCACCGGCGGCCGACGGCGACGACGACGATGACGAGGACTACGACTCCTAGGGGCGGCCGAGCGTCGTTCCGTTTTAACCCCATTCAACACGTGTACAATTCATTTTCTTCACCCACCACCCATGTAATTTTTCCCATTTGTTTTTCTTTCTATACAATGAGATTTTGCGAAAGCAAGAAAACGCAGGATTTTTTTTGTTTCGTTTTTGGTGTTCGTGTAATTACTGGCGTGGATGGGGGGAGAGTTGCGTTTGGCTGCCGTTTGCATTGATTCCATTTGTGCTTTGCACAATTTAAAGTGCTGGTGCAGGTAAGGAAACAATGGCTTGTGATCTTTAGTTTTTGCTTTGCTCCCTTACCTGCCTAAACTTAAAGATGTTAATTTGGCACGAATGGGTCAGCAGGTTGGAATGCAGCGAGTAGGAGATGTTGCATTGATCGTCATGCCACTCCAGGTAGCATTGCATGACGCAGCAGTGCTAGCCAAAATGCTTGTCTAGCGAATTATTATTTACATTTTTGGAACGTGTTCACTTTTGAAAATACATGTTATCGCACTTGTTTAATCTAAACTCTTGGGGCTGGCCCAGACATTGGAACCAATGCAAAGCCACCGAACGTCAAACTAGTCATGTGTACATAGAGTTTTGTGACTTGGGTTTTATTCCTGCGGATGTTTTAACTTTTTAGATTTGTAAGCCTTGTAAAGAGTTAATTTGGTTTTACTTGTGCTTCTCATGCTGTGTATGATGGACAGTGCCCTCACATATACACATAGTACAACGTGGCCGTGATTCCCCCAAGACGTGTTGATCCGATTTCTCCAGACATTGTGGTTGAGAAATATTGAGAAATACACTGTTGTTTGTATGACCTGAGAATTTGTATAGTTGTCCTGCATCGTATTTGCGGCGGTGCACAGCCACTCTGTAAGAGTGAAGCTACTTTTGAGTCGTTGATAAGGACATTTGAACAGATGTTTAATGGGTGTCGATCCATAAAACCGGTTGTGATAACTAAAATGGTTTGATTCAGTTTTTGGTTAACAAAATATATTGTCCAAACCACTTCAGTTAATAAATTAAACTTTTTTCTAAAACTATTAAACTCCTTCAGCCTGATATAATTATTCAGCTTTAGATGTGTCACATCACTTTGTTCCGCAGCTTTCACTTTATGCCTCATTTCCACAGAATGCCAATGTCCCACTTTCACAGTCTTGATGTACGGTTGCAGTTATACACCACGTAAATACATTGCATTGTGAAGTTTCGCAAAGCCTTCCACCTTTCTGCACCACATGTGTGCCTAACTTTGCACTGACCACAAACGTGACCATGTGTGTGGTATTGGAATGCGGTATGCCGAGGAAAATCTCCACCCTTGTGGCAATGTTTTCCATTGGTGGTCTGTACTTGGAGGAGGGTGGCATAGTGTGTGGGACTGCTAGCTCCGTGCTTTTGATTTGACAACATGGGTGGGAAAGTCTTCGTGGTGGGACCCCCCCCCCTCCCCCCAACTAAAGCAACAACAGCAAGGTGGTCGGCACCGAGCCGGCATCGCCAAGACCTTTCTAGTCCAGGTTTCGGTCACCCCATTCATTCAAATTCTGTTGAATTCACGGTCTCAGCTTGGTCCTAAGTGGCTGCACACAGTTAAATTCGTTTGTTCACTCGCATTGTTTTATTCCACCATTTTGACGATTAAACATTTTGGTTTGCTTTCCATGTGACAAAAATATTTGCAAGGGCATTACATTGTCTATTTTGCGAGTGGAAAGAAGAAATTAAAGCGATTTAAAGCATCGAGGCATATTTTTGGCTCTTCTACACAGGTAATGTGAGCTCCAAAATATCAACGTCTTCATCTGATGACGCATCACGATTAAGGTCAGAAACCCTTAAATTTGGGCCCAGTTTGGTGATCCTACGGTCTCGGTTTCATTTCGGATCAAATCGATGTTGGACTCATAGGAATGGCCATGAAGTTTAGTCTCGTATTAAAGGGGTCGGGAGTCACGGCAATCTGGTGGGAGGTCAAAGTTCGCAGCGTTGGGAATCAAATTCGGGTGATGGGGGTCCCCGTGACAATTTGGGTCATTTTGTTGACGTTACAAGGGGGCCTAGGATTGCCCCCTGTCTGGGTTTCACCTAGATAGGCTGGGAAATGGAATGTTTTTGGGTGCGAGACAAATTGCTTTGTAACGCTATCCAGTGGTATGCTGAACTTTGACAGTATAGTGCACATTGTTGATAGACCAAGGTTGACTAAAACACGACTGCTTAGATTACACATTTAAGCAGACAATCGGAAGCTTCGAGGGCAGGTTAAATGAGTGGTCACAAGTTTTAGTTCAATTGGATCAAAGCTTATGCCACTGGGGTTTGCCCAAAGTTGGTCGTTAGATTGGTCACAGTAGCAACCAGGGCGTTAGATCAGCGAGTGCTTGAAATATCAAGGTCGGGGTCACGCTCACCTGAGCCTCCACATGACCCTGGCAGAAAGAACCCACGACTGAATGAAGTCCTCCACAGTGCAGACAAATCCATTGTTATCGGTACTTCTATGCCTCTAGGTTATTGCCCCCCCCCTCTCGCCTTTATCAATCCGCACTGACCAACGTGAAGTGTGAAGTATGGTCACAAAACTCACCACGACCTGCACAGCGTAGGTGTTAGCCCAATATTCAGCAGATTGACAAATGGGCTGCACTGTATCTGAAAACAAGCCGACAATACGCCATATCTATCCCTCCACAAAATATTTTTTCTGTTCACACATCTCATCAATTCGCGTCTGCCGGCGAGAGACAACGAATCTGCCGAAATCGGTCCCCAGTAATTTCAAAGCTGAAATGACGCACTCCCCACAAGGCCGCAATGGCTGATGGAGCGGGGGTGGGGGACGTGTTAAAAAAGATACCAAAAAAAAAGTTTGTATTTGTTTTGTGTGTACATAGCGAGGAGGAGCGTTTGCCATGCGTTCTCTTGACTTTCCCCGTTCGGTCCCCGTGGCGACAGCCGATGGTAAACTCGCTCACCACGCGGTGGGTGGTTGGTTGTGGTTTGGTTGTGGTGGCGGCGAACCTTAAAGCGCCACATTCGATTTCCCGCAGAGCACGTGGCAGGATCGCGCGCACGCGCCCCCCACACCGCCCAAATCGCTCATTGGCCCCGCGCCTTGCCACGCCCTCTCGGGCGCTGCCGACCAATGGGGGAGTTTGGCGAGCGCTCGCCGCTTATGCGAAGTGGGAATTGTGAATCGACGGCGCCGTGGTGTTGGTGGTGGAGGAAGCGATGAGGGTGGTGGCATTAATCAGGCGAGCGGGGAGACAAAGGCGGACAGGCCCCCCGAGGGGTGGGGGGGGGGTGTGCAGGGAAACAAAGGCGGACAGCCCCCCCCCGGGGGGGGGGGGGTGCAGGGAGACAAAGGCGGTGGTTTGACGGGAACGCAGCAGCAGAGCGGACCCGGCGAAGACGGGCACTCGAAATGTGGAGGCGCATGGATTGCGGTTGTGGGGAAGACGAAAGGCGCCCGCGTGTGGCGCTGCTGATGGGCACTTTTTGATGTTGGCGTTGAGCAACACGGCATGCCACTCGTCCCCCCTGGGCAGTTGTTTGGGTGCCGAGTGTCACACGCCGCAAGCTGCGTACGATGGTTGTGATTGCGTTGTGGGTGTTTTTGGTCGAGTGTAATACGAGAGTGTTTTTTGTTGTTTAACCATGGGGATGACTTCTGAGGGAGCGAGCTAGCGAGCGAGTGGTGATTGTGGTTTTCTGTGTGTGAGAGCAATGTTGGGCGAGCGTGCCGAAAACTGTTCTGGGATTTATCGGCAGTGTGCGCGTTCGTGTGCGATAACTTTATGGGCATAACGCGAGCGCTTTATTAAGTGTGTGTGTTTGTCAAGTATTGGTGGTGCGAGTACATTTTTGTGTGCGCGTGTGTGAGTTTTTAGTTGTGTGCATCGTGTGTCTGGTGTTGTGAGTGTTGAGTTTGTTTGCGTGCCGCTCTGACCTCCATAGGTGCTCGCTAACAGCACTTTCCCCAACAGTATGTTAAGGTTTAACACGTAGGCTTTCGGGATCAATATCCATAATGGGTTTTTTTTTGGGTTAGATCTCGTAAATATATTTATATAGGTCGACTCGGCCTTAAATAAGTATCTGGTGCGATTTAACCCAAAAAAAAAACCTATGTTATGGAGTCTGTTAGGGCTGTATGGGGGAATATTTGTGTTGAGTGTGTGTGTTGAGTGTGTGTGTTGAGTGTGTGTGTTGAGTGTGTGTGTGTTGAGTGTGTGTGTGTTGAGTGTGTGTGTGTTGAGTGTGTGTGTGTGTTGAGTGTGTGTGTGTGTTGAGTGTGTGTGTGTTGAGTGTGTGTGTGTTGAGTGTGTGTGTGTTGAGTGTGTGTGTGTTGAGTGTGTGTGTGTTGAGTGTGTGTGTGTTGAGTGTGTGTGTGTTGAGTGTGTGTGTGTTGAGTGTGTGTGTGTTGAGTGTGTGTGTGTTGAGTGTGTGTGTGTTGAGTGTGTGTGTGTTGAGATTGTGTGTGTTGAGTGTGTGTGTGTTGAGTGTGTGTGTGTTGAGTGTGTGTGTGTTGAGTGTGTGTGTGTTGAGTGTGTGTGTGTTGAGTGTGTGTGTGTTGAGTGTGTGTGTGTTGAGTGTGTGTGTGTTGAGTGTGTGTGTGTTGAGTGTGTGTTGAGTGTGTGTGTGTGTTGAGTGTGTGTTGAGTGTGTGTGTGTGTTGAGTGTGTGTGTGTGTGTTGAGCGTGTGTGTGTGTTGAGCGTGTGTGTGTGTTGAGCGTGTGTGTGTGTTGAGCGTGTGTGTGTGTTGAGCGTGTGTGTGTGTTGAGCGTGTGTGTGTTGAGCGTGTGTGTGTTGAGCGTGTGTGTGTTGAGCGTGTGTGTGTTGAGCGTGTGTGTGTGTTGAGCGTGTGTGTGTGTTGAGTGTGTGTGTTGAGTGTGTGTGTTGAGTGTGTGTTGAGTGTGTTGAGTGTGTGTGTGTTGAGTGTGTGTGTGTTGAGTGTGTGTGTGTTGAATGTGTGTGTGTTGAATGTGTGTGTATTGAGTGTGTGTGTTATTAATGTTGACCAGGGCTGCACCGTGCTGATGAAGTGCGTGATTAGGCAAACCTAAAGTTCAAAGCTTGCGTGGTCATGGCATTTCGTTTCTCACTATCAGTACCAGACGTGGGCTTCCCCGTGGTGGACTCAGCCTGATAGGAACCTCCGGGACATTCGGTGATGATAAATCTCTGATAACAAACAAAAAAACACACTGACCTATCTATGTGTGCGGCTTTTTTTTGTTTTGGAACTCGCTTCACTTGCTCGTGTTGAGTATTCCGCGGACGGCGAAACGTCCTACAATTGACCGGTGGAAATAAGGCAATAGAAACACGGGAAACGAAAGTGTATTGGACAAAATGGTGCAATTGGGGAAAAGCTGGAGAAACTTGATGTTTGGTAACTTGGACGCAAAAAAGGAAGAGTTTAGGGGAGAAGTATAATATGTAGGGGTGTGCGAGAGTCGCCCTTGCACTTTGTCACCCTTTGTCACACTTAACTGCAGAATCCACTGTTCAGCTTTGTAAATGAGGAGAAAACCAACCAAACCCATCGTGACACTAAACAATTGACTTGACTGCCACGCATTGAGACAACTAAGACAACAACAACAACAACAGCGAGAGAAGCCATGAAACCGATCCAGTTTTCCATCCGTTTCACTGCTGCCTCTCGGTCGGTCGCATTGACTGAAATCGATTGTGATGGTCACCCAAAACAAGAGAACCACAAAGCAATTACTGTATTCAGGAACACGTAGGCCGACTGATTTCTTGTACAGGTTTCTGGGCGATACCCCTTGCCGCAAACGCCACTGCGACTTTCTTCTTGTTGAACCGTGCAGGTGTCGATCAACGTCGGAGCATCACAGACGTCACGAATGACTCCGCCGTGAGTGGAAGAAGTGAGACGGGAGCAGCGCTTTGAACTCGCAGATGACGATGGCTGTGTCTGCCGTGTGTGTGTGTTCGTAGCGGCGGCAAGGACAGCTGCTACAACTTGATGCAATGCGTGGCTGCCGGCCACCAGGTTGTGGCGCTCGCAAACCTGCAGCCCGTCGGGAAAGGTGAGCTCCCCCCCCCCTCTCCCCTGTGTGTAGCTTGTCACAGGAGTGTGTGTGTGCTGGTGTGTGTTTTGTGTGTCGTTATGGGGAGCGGTAGTGTAGCGGTTAGTGCGCTACACTACGAACCTGGCGACCCGGGGTTCGATACGATTATCTGAACCGGTCCTGGGCCTCCCCTAGGTCGACTCAGCCTCAAATGAGTACCTGGTGCGATGTGTAAACATCGCCGCTAGGGAGACAAAGGCGGCCGGGCGTGGTGTTAGCCACCCACCCCCTCGTGTGCCATGCCGGCCTTTATAAGTGCTCGCTAACGGCACTTGCCCCTACAGTCTGTTAATGCTATACGGGGGACCTTTGTTGTGTGTCGTGGGGAGTGATAGTGTAGCGGTTAGCACGCTGCGCTGCAAACCCGGCAACCCGGGGTTCGATTCCCGCTCACGGCCAACACCAGTGACGATTATCTGAACCGGTCCTGGGCCTCCCCTAGGTCGACTCACCCTCAAATTAGTACCTGGTGCGGTGTGTAAACATCGCCACTGGGGAGACAAAGGCGGTCGGACGTGGTGCTGTACCGTTCCGGCCATCATAGGTGCTCGCTAACGAGGATATTTTTTTCGCTTCACGCGTTTTTTGCTTAACGCAGTACTTTTCTGGAACACATCTACTGCCGCGTTCGACGTTTGACCCAACATCCCAATGCAGAACCCTCCTGAAAGATTTGTTTCGTTTCGCTAAGCCTTTCCAGGATAGTTACACTTTAGATTAATAAAATAAATAATTAAACTTATATTTTTTCTGTTTCTTTTGTCATTTTAAATTGAAATGTCAGTGGGAAATTCCACGTGAAGTGTTTCACACACCTGGCCACTGGTCCAGGGAGATTGGGTTGTTGTGGTGAAGGGGAGGGGGGGTGGGCGTGACTATATTTTGGAACTGTTAAGATTTCCAGGTAAAGTGGAACCACAGTCAAGTGCTTGCCTGCTGCTCAGATAGTGACCTGCAACCAAGATAAGGGATGACATTATCGGCCTTACAATGTTATTGGTTACAGCAATGCGCCGCTTCATCGACTAAAATCCATTCTTTTTGATCGCATGCGGCTCCTGTTTGAATGGAGGAGACTGACCGACTGAAGCTTACACTCGCAATACATGCATTCAAGGAATGCGCAATAATTAATGATTTACAATCTATGGTACGTATATGTTAATCGTAAGTAAATTATATGCTAATATATTTAGGCTAATGCGGCCAATAAAACTACTAATGAGATGCAAAAATTAGACAAAAAATAATTGATAATTTTATTAATGAAAGCTTAAGACATTTTTTTAATTTTGCCTTCTGACTTTCTGATCTGATTTTACTGTTTAGTTCATTTTTTCCTTATTGTGTATTTTTATCATTTTACGAGTGTTTTTACAACATTTGTCTTGGTAAGTGATTAATTTGAACTTGTGTGAAGTGGCCTTGAACGTTGTGGTAAGAAAGGTGCTCTGTAAATAAAGATTATGATTGTTGAATGATGACAACGAATTGGGACAATTGACCACATTGAGTGGGGGACTCGAGCTGGTGTTGTTATTTTATTGGTGCTGGGCCCCACTTTCTAATACGTAATACTTATTTTCTTAGAGTTACTTGCTTACCTTTTCACTATTTTGCACTCTTGTGGTTTGTATTGTTTGTTGATTTGACTCACTGACCCGCCTCGACTGGACATTTATCAAAAAGAGCTTCATTACTCATCAGAATCCTCCAGCATAAATAAAGATTCTGATTATTCACTCTGGCCTGTGCTGTTGTGTAGCTGGCTCTTTATCTTCTTCTATATTTCGCTGCCCTGACTCATTTCCCAACCATGTAATTTTCTCCCAGAATGTAACTTTTTCTTTCCTGCCATTTTTGTAAATCGTCTTCAGATGCAATGCATTCACGACGTAGACACTTTATGTATTTAGTTAAATAGTTTCTGCGGTGATTTTTTTGGAATGCAACTTTGTTAGTAATTGGGTGGCATCTCTTGTGCAGTATTGTCACATGTTGCACTGTCTCACGAAGGCCGTTATTCCGGCCAATACAATTAGGCAGGCCAAAACAATTTAAAGAAAAAGTAATTCGGGTGATATCCTGATTGGTGAGGGCGAGTGTAACTTGCCAATGGACCGCATATGATGGTGTGTCCTTCGTTGCGCCAGACGAGCTGGACAGCTACATGTACCAGACAGTGGGACACCAGGCCGTGGGCCTGTACGCCGAAGCGATGGCGCTGCCGCTGTACCGGCGCTCCATCCAGGGCGAGACGCTGGAGATGGGCCGAGACTACACGGAGCACGCCGGCGACGAGGTGGAAGACCTCTACCACCTGCTCAAGGAGGTCAAGGTCAGGGGATCGTGTATCTCGCACGTACACGCATATACCGTACGGTGCAATGTGGATTCATAGCGTGTCTAAATGCGACAATTTCAAGACGCTGTACAGAAATAATGCCCGTCTTTAATTTGTAGAGAGAGGCAGTCATAGGCTGAGGAGAAGAGGAAGGTCTTGAGTCAGGACTTGAACAGAGGTATGGAGTCGACATCACTGAAAGGGAGTTTGAGACAGGGTGCAGCAGAAGAGAATGAGTGACCTCCCACTGGGCAAAGATTGGCTGGGAGCTTCAACAAAAAGCTTTGGTTGCAGGAGTGGAGTGTGGGTGGAGGGGGTGTGAGATGAGAGGAGAGAGATAGGAGATTGTGTGGAGCGTGGTGAGAGGGGAAAAGGTAGGAGAGCATGGGCAGGAGAGTATAGTGAGATTATAGGGAGAGGTCGGCAGGGGTGTGTCCATGAAGAATTTTGAATACGGTGATTGTGATCATTTAAATTTAAGCCCTTGAATATATTTTTAAATTAATTTGATTTAAAATTAAAATGTTATTTAAAAAAGAAGTTGAGTAACTATTCGGAGCTGAAGCAACTCGGCCGCAAACCACAGCCTACTCATTTGCACATCCTTCATATGAACCAATTGGCAAAAATATAATATTTGTCATGAATAGTCTTAATTCAAATTTGCGTAGATAGTCCTATCAGAGATGTAAATGTGGATTGTGGGCAGGCATGGTGGATGGAGTTTCAAAAGCTCTGTTGGTGAACTTGTATACATGCCACTGATAAGGTAAGGATAGAGTAGCAGGAACGTAGTTGACAGAGATCTTGTCCCGCCCGTTCACATTTTTAAAGACCTTGCGATGATGTCACATTGAAAGTGGACGGTCGCCCCCATGTGGACAGGTTGTGCTCCTGCACGCTCTTGCGGCCATCCTCCGGCCCGGTCATTTGTGCCAAGTGATCGTTTATGCTTGGTAATTGATGGTTGCGGTGTCGATTTTGTGGTGTGCGACAGGAGAAGGAGGCGGTGGAGGGTGTGTCTGTTGGAGCCATCCTCTCCGATTACCAGCGTCTGCGCGTCGAGAACGTGTACGTCAGCCTGATGAAGGCCGCCGGAAGCCGGCGACACTCCCAGAATATTAAACTTTGATCTTTTAAACAACTTCCTTACCATTTTTATCCCAATTGTGCTATTATAGGCATCACGTCATGAGCAGAAGTACACTTTCGTATCTCTTGCACAGCAATGCATTTCTTCATGTTCGAGAATGGCTCACTCAAGCTGTTTCTGATCAATCTTAAGTGACCCCTGGTCCATACAGTAAGGAGCAGTACTTCCCATCCTCCCGCATACAGAGTGTAATGTACATTACGTGAAAGTCTCACCAGGATATTTCATTCTCAAGAGCTGTAATTTAGCCCAGTTAAGTGTAGAACCAAATGTAATGCGATGGGTTTATTTGTGCAGTAATTGGTGACCGTGCTGAGTAATTCAACTCGCTGTGTTTTTAAAAAGCTGAGCTTGGTAATGAAAAGTAACATACCAATGCATCTGAAGAGATAGTATTCATCAGCGCCTACCTGTTATGACACATGGATCAGAAACATGAGCACCTACAAACAGGATGGAATAAAAGCTCAAGTGCGCAAAGAAGCATAGAGAGCTATGTATGCTTGGGATTACGCTGAGGAAACCATGGATTAGAGTACATATACAGGTTACAGATATAACTTTGACTGTTAAGAAAATGAAGTAGGTTTGGGCAGGACACGTCACCAGATGGGATGATGGCCGATGGTCAAGAATAGTGACGGAGTGGCAGTCAAGGAATGGAACGTGTCCGAGATCACTTCCACCAAGGGGATGGAACGATGACATCGACCCATGTGGAGGTGCTTTCCAGATTATTGCATTGCAGCGACAGTGGACGATGGCAGCGACTTGGGGAAGCCGTCATCCAGCAGTGGATCGACGATGGTTAACGACGATATCGTGGGCCTGTGTGTGTGTGTGCAGCTGCGAGCGGCTCGGCCTGACGCCGCTGGCGCTGCTGTGGCATAGGGAGCAGGAGGAGCTTCTGCAGGAGATGGTGACCGCTGGCGTGGAGGCCATCCTCATCAAAGTGGCCGCACTGGGTCAGGCCGCTGCTCTTAAATTGTACACACTGCTAACACCACGTCTTATTTCAACAGCTGAGCATTAATAAGAATAATGTCAAGTGTAATTTTTGTGTTAAAAAAAGCCTCGTGTACATCTGTAGTTATTTGATCAATCCATTGGTGCACGAAGGCTTTTCCACAACCATGTAAGTCATGGAGGTAATTGGTCATACTTCACCATGCTGGTCAGTGCGGGTAGAACTCTGGATGTAAACACAGTTCTGACTGGGAGTGTTTTGATTTGTGATGAAGGTCTGGACCCACGCAAGCATCTCGGGAAGAGCTTGCTTGAGATGTCGCCACTTCTAGTATCGGTAAGAACCTGGGGCAAAACACTGCGCAGCGCTGCGGATTTACAAAGCGTCTAAAAGCAATCCGTCTATCGCATGGAGAGAGCTGATCAGTTATAGGTCTCTAGGTTTATTTGAGCCAAGCATCTTTGTGAGTGTATGGGACTTTATACATGTCTATACAAAACAATTTGGATTGAATATTGCGTCTATATGCGACCGTATCTCAAGACACAGGACAGACACAGTGGGTTTATTGAGCGAGGCAGTCATAGGCAGAGGATTAAAGGAAGGCCTTGAGCCTGGACTTAAACAGGGACATCGTGTCGACAGCTCAGGTAGTTGGGGGAAGAAAGCTCCAGACTATGGAGGCAGAAGTGGTTAATGAGTGACCTCTCACTGAGCAAAGGTTGACTGGTAAGTCCACAACAATCATAATCACCATTAAAGGGTCAGAATGTAGGTGAAAGAGGATGCAACCAAGAAAAAAATAAATACAGTCCTGCAGATAGGCACCTTAGCTGTGTCCCAGACTGTTGTTAAAGGTTTGTTAATTTACAAAACCTGAGGTGGTTGAGTTGCTCGGTTCGAATCACTTGAGCTGGCACGGCTGAGATCCTCTGTTTGAATCTGGGATTCAACCACCCGTGTATAAACCGAGTAGTCACATATAGTGAGTTGATACTGTCAGCCTAGTCACTAATAACTGCACAAACAAAACAAATACCGTACGTTTGCTTAATTTGAGAATCTTCAAGTTTTTGCGATTGTGTAGCGCCCCCTAGTGTGTAGGTGAAATATAACTTCATAATTCCTCATCAATATCACCTTTTGTGGGCCGTTCTCGGGCACCTGTTGATGCGCTGCTGTGCAAGATTTCTGAATGGACAATTCATCTCGTGTCATGACGGTGATTGGCATACATTTGGGAGAGATAAACATTTTATAAGGTCTGACATTTCGACCCTAGTTGCGATGCCAACTATAAAAGTAACATCGTTTTATCAACTTTACGAAAGTGCACTCAATAAAGTCACTTTAAAGTATTTTCTTCTCGTTAATGGAGCTTCATACTCGCATTCTGAAACCCATTGCTGTATTACGTATATGCGAAGTAACAATGGCGGAGTCAGGATTTTCAGGTAGGGGGGGCTACCCCTCCAGCAATGGAAAATGATTGAGTTGTTAGTAAGTAAGGACTTGTCCCTTGCTTTTTATTCGACGCGTGTGCGGCGATGGCACAGCCATCGATCGAGGGTCGAATTCGAACCGTGTGTGATCGGCATCGCGCTCGCTGAAGGTGTTTGCCTTCAGGGAAGTCGTATACTGTATACGCAACTGTGTACAATTCTGAGTCACTTATAACTGCTTTGCCGTTACTTATTGCCAATTATGGACTCGGACTATTGTCCTATCATCTCATAGAGTCCCTCGCACAATAATATGCTACACGGTGGCAGTGGGGGTGGCAAAATGCCGATTTATTACTAATAAACCCCAATGATCCGATCTAAATGAGGGATTTTGATCGGATCATTGGGGGGGCACGTGCCACCCCACCCCCCCCCCCCCCACTGGCTCCGCCAGTGTGAAATAAGATATATTTGTTGGGTTGCGTCTACCTTCAATGCAAAGACAATTGTTCTGTACATTGTGCGAACTTGGTGACTGATCTTGCTCCACGCTGACCATTCACATCAGCGCTGCCCTGTCCACAGCTCTCGCAAAAGTTCGGGGTCCACGTGTGCGGGGAAGGCGGCGAGTATGAGACGTTCACCCTCGACTGCCCCATCTTTCACAAGCGAATCGTCATGTGAGTTATGTCCCCAGCAGTGCCTCCAGTTGACCTTTGTATGCGACTCCGTTTAAAGAAAAAATATATATTTACAGTGCTTTGATAGTCTACTGCTGTGTGAAGGCCTCCCCACTCCATGTTGGATCTTTGGTATTGTTTGACTATACTTCACCATGCTAGTCAGTACAGGTTCAAGGTAGGGGCCCAGGACCGGTTCAGATATCGTTTGGCAATGATGTTGACCATGACTGGGACTCTAACTCAGGTCGCTGGGTTTGTAGCGTAACACATGGACCAAGAACCACTGCTCCTCCCTTGCATTATTCTTAATGATGACGTCCAGTTTGCATTGTGCCTTTCACTGTCATTCTGAAGTGCTTAACATTAACATTGATAAAGATGCTTTTTTAAGTGACTTCTGAAGTACTTCGGTGGACCCATCTTCTGGGGTGCAATGCTTGCTGCGAAAGTTCCGTATTGCAAAATGTATTTGTCGTATGATGACAACAATCATAAAGGCATTCTAAAGAGAAGTGGAGACAGCCATGGCGAGTGCATGGAGCGCAGTTAACATTGCCCGTGCAATGTCTTCATCCGGTGAAGAAGTGCGGTTTGTTTTCCCCGTAGAGACGAGAGCGAAATGGTCATCACATCGGAGGACGACATCGCTCCTGTCGGATACCTGCGTTTCCTTCGCATGCATCTGGAAGACAAGTCCTGACCACCACTCGTAACAAGAGTTTACTCGCAAAGCGGTATCGTGGGAGGAACACGTGCTCAACTGCTGAGGAGGAACTTGTGGAAGTGTGGTTTTGCAGCTTGGGAGAAATTACTTCTCCTTTTACTTTGCACGTAACAATTCATCGATTTAAATAGACTCTTACGCAGCAATATAGTGCATAACATTGTTTGTGTGAGAATTGATCACAGTACAATGTATGCAAAGCATATGCAAATGTTACATTTAGGATAATGGAGCGAATGAGACTACAAATGAGACAGAAAGAGAATTATGCAAATGGGATGGTGACAATTTCTAAAGGTTATTAAACTGAATTGTGACCCAGATTTGTGGTATTCAATCGCAGGTGAAAGGTCCAAACTGTTTCGTCTGTATTTTGCACATAAGCATTAGTTATGGGTGCAATACTGCTTGTAATCATTGGCCGTGATGCAAAGTCATGGCTATGCCTCTGTGGTGAGCAGTTATCTGGTGCAGTCTTGCACAAATCCCAAATTTATTGTGGTTAGCAAAACCAAAATCTTGGGTTATCTTTAAAATGTTTGGTAGCTATGAAGCAAATTTCCTCCCAAGTGTGCTGCTTGTGGTGTAGAAGATGACTACTGATGTGCACTGTTTCATAAACCTGTGATGAATGTTGCTTAATTTCTAGACATATTTTGCTGAACTGTTGTTTAACAGGCCGATCAGTGACCAAACCCTTTTCCGTTGAGCTGTGGAGGATATTGTTAATTCACAGCTCTCCGTCAATCCACTGCCTGGCCATACTGGTTCAGTTATGGTCAGTGCACGTTGGTGAGAGGGTGGATCCCAGGACCGGTTTAGATATCACTTGCCACTGACATTCGTCATTAGCCGGGAAGCAAATTCGGGTCGCCAGTTTCATAGCGCAGTGTGCTAACCACTGTGCCACCGCTCCCCCCCCCCCCTGGAGGATTATGGGCAATAAACAATTATAACTTATCGAAATTAAATATTGGTTTAGTTCTAAGCCTGTGGGCCTTTTTGTTAACAATTTGCATGTGTTTAAGCAGAAAACTGGGCTAGTTTTGCCTTTTCCAATTCTCATCAGCAGAGTCATACCTGTTTGCATTGAGGTTACCTTGTGAAGGTTCAACAAATGTAGCCAACGAATTGTTATTTTTAATACTTGAAAATAATGTAGGCATTCCATTCTGTGCAAGCTGTTTATCAGATAGTTGCATATTAAACATACATTTTAAAATAAAATATTTTAATGACACTGGCGTGATGTTGATTACGGGCTTGTGATGACAGCTTGTGGCTGTAGGATTTTAACTACGGAGCCTCGTGGGCAGCAGATGGCAGTGCATTTAAAATCAATGTCCCCTATAGATTCGTCTCTACACAAAATATTACAGTTATTTTAACAAAACTCATCGGCCAAACAGTGTTCTCGAAGCACATAATCATTTAATCAGCGTTGATTCAATACGTTACAAAACAAACTCTGTTTCGACATTTGATCCTTATGGCGTTACCCCGGGGTACCAAATAATAAAAAAATGTCCGAGGCAACTAAATATTTGATTTCTGGGACGCTTTTTTTTTCCAAGGGTGTACTTAACTCCGCGAACTGGGGTACCAATCAATCCGAAATCAGTGCCACACTCCGCGATGTCGAAACGCCAAACAGCATTAAAAAAAATCCGTTATCGAACAATTCTACTTTGAATAGTGCATCGTGTACAGCTCGTCGAGATGAGTCGATTGCCGCATCGCCGACCATCAACGGACTAAAAATGTCTGCATCACGGACATTGTGCGAGAGCCGGGGCTACTATGGTCACCCCGGGGTAACGCCATCAGGTTCATTTGGTGTGGCATCAGCAGTCGGGCTCGCTCGACCGCCAGATCTTCATCATTGGCCCCCTTCTGCAAACAATTGACAGGACCCTCCAAAACAACCGCACGAGACTGAGACATTCCTGGGTAAACGAGTGTAGCAGTAATATTAACAATAAGATGTTATTGCTACATCATGGGACCTCCTTTGCCAGTACCAAAATATGATAATAGGTTTTCCCCGTTTTCTGGCAACAAAACAGGTGTGCAGATGTTAAAACACCAAACTGAAACCTTTTACAAGGAATCATGTCTGCATTAACCACAATACTTGTGGTCAGAATGCAAACAAAAAAACACTAATATATGCATTGTCTTTGAAACTGATTGGTCCACACAGGGGCGGAGCCAGGGGGGGTGACAGGGTAGACAATTGTCACCCCCGAAAAAAAAATAAAACATCGAAAATCTGAAACATTCTGCGTTATAAGTGTACGACACTCGGTCTGGCAGACTCCGTGCAACTGCATTGCCAGAGTGTGTCCGCGAACCGATGGCGTCTCGTTCAACAGCCCGACTCACTAATCATTCTTGAAATTAAAATTTGTTGAATGTCACCTCGGGCTGAAAATCCTGGGTCCACACCAGAGACAGCTTTCTTTTGAGCCGAGTCTCAAAACGGTGTTAGACCAGATAAAATAAAATCTATTACATCACCAATGCTGGCGAACAATTGCCGGATATTACAGGCAATCAAAAATACTAATTCGTGACACTGCGTTGGTAGTGGTGTACACATCACAGACAACTCGCAACATTAACGAACCCGCAGAGGTTAAAAAAAAAACATTTACTATCATGAGCCAGGAATATCTGTCCTGTGCGTGACGCCACTTCACGTCGGCCAGCCACCCTCATTAATAATCATGAGCGGGTGACGTCACTCCACAGTAAGCACCCACCCTCAATAATAATGAGCAGGTGACGTCACTCCACATCGAACAGCCCCCCTCATTAACAATCATGAAGAGTTTCGATTTAAAGCTTTCGTGACTGCAAGGATTCATCTTCTTTTGTTCTTTCGGTAAAATCACGTAGAATGAGATTAAATAAGACAATACAATTCTCACGACGTTTCGGCCACAACACAAGTAGAAGGCTACTTGTGTTGTGGCCGAAACGTGAGAATTGTATTCTTATTTTATTTTATTATTTAAAATAAGTAGCCTTCTACTTGTGTTGTGGCCGAAATGTCGTGAGAATTTTATTGTCTTATTTTATTATTTTATTCTCATTCTACGTGACTTTACCGAAAGAACCAAAGAAGAATCATGAAGAGGGTGACGTCTTCCAAATGGACCCCCGCTATTAATAATAATTAGCGGCTGACGTCACTCCACATGGGGGGGCGAGGCGCCCCCTCCCCCCTCCTCGGCGTCAACTCACAACCCTCACTACAGAACCCTCACGTCACGTGATCTCCGTGACGCTGTTGTTGAGACATCAAAGTAAAAAGGACTGCGCGATGACCCAAGGGATTATAACCTAAAAATGAAATAAGTCTGTGTCACCGCGGCCTTACAAATTGCGCACGAATGGATGCAACGAATATATCACGTCGCGGTCTGCTATTCGCTTGGAAGTTTCAGATTAACTGCAATAAACCCGTCCTCGTGACGGGCAAATGGCGAGCAATACAAATTCTAGATTTAAAGCTTTCGTGACTGCTAGGATCCATACTCTTTGGTTCTATTTCACCTACGTGACTTTACCCAATGGAACCAAAGAGTATGAGCAATACAAATGTTGGGCCTGTGGGAGGAAGCGGAAGGCGGAGGTGGGGGGGAGGTGCGGCAGCGCTGCCACCCAATGGGGTTGCCGCACGACGGGGCGCGTGCAGCAGCCGCGCCGCCGGTTCCCATGGCAACCAACCGCAGCGCCACGTCATCACTTCGCTCACCCCCTCCCCTCCCCTCTGTCAATCCGCCCCCCCACCCACCGCGTGACGTAATGCGGCCAGGACTCTCAGTCGAGCGCGCTCGACCGCCGTGATCGTCGTGGAGCGATCGCTCGGCACTCGGCTCGCTCTGCCTGACGCGCGCGCACTTTGACTCGGCGGCGGGGCGCGTCCAAATAACCGCCGAGGGGGGGGGGCGTTGTGGTGGTATGGGGTACATCGAATGCATGGTACGTTAATTTAGGAATATTATATATAAGAACGCAATACAGATAATGTATATTTCTAATAAATATTGCAATTGTCATTCATAATGACTCGTAAAATCGAAATCTCGACAGGCAGTCTACAACGGACCCCCCCCCTGCTCTCCCTCCGTGTGGATTAACCTCCCCCCCCCCGCGTCTTCCACCTCGGGTGGCGCGGCCCGCAGCGGCGACGTCACCGCCATGGCCGCCGACGCGGATCCCGGCGAGGAGCGGCCGCTCCTGGGCCACGAGGAGGAGGAGGCCGCGGCGGCGGCGATGGGCCCCGTGGCCGCGCTCTACTTCTACTCGCTCAGCCGCGTCAAGCAGGTGCGGCAAAAACCCTGCACCGCTCACGACTCGCGGGGGTTGGCGAGGCCCCTTGGCCGTGTTTGGGAGGGGGTGGTGGCGGCTGGAACGCCAGGGGTACATCCATCCCGGGTGGAGGGGCCCAACAACAAACCCCTATCGTCATCTTGACTATATGGTCGGCGGTGGTTGTTGTCATAATTGCGATCATAAATAATATACATCACGTAAATCAACATTGCCGGAATGTTGGTCATTGCCAACATTGCAATCATCAGCCGCGTCATGAGAGTCAACATTGCCACCGTCATCATCGTACACATCACCATCATCACATTCATGATCGTCAATATCCTGGCTGGCCATCGTGATCAAAGTGTCATTGTTAGTGTCATCAGCACCATTACCACCGCCACGTTAATCGTCACAAATCACCAACAGAACCGTCGTCGTCGTCACCAAAATCGCCATCCTGTCATTCAAACTCCCCAACGGCATCTTCATAATCAGAATATGTATTTATCCTGGAAGAATATCAACCACGTTAGATCTTAACCATCACCATTGAGTGGTTAATCATCATTATCATCAACTTGGTGGGTCGGTGTCGTGAGAAACGGGGGAGCCCAGGGACAGAGTGTACCTGGCTGGGCAAGAGACGGTGCCTCCGATGCGCACGGCTGGCTACGTACGGTGCAAAATAAGTTCTACATACGGTATAGGCATTGGACGAAGCGAGGATTGTCTGGAATTGTAGTGATTGAGCTGGGCAAGGGGGGGGGATGCATGGTCAGGAGTGCCTGGGCATGGCGGTGTTTCGGAACAAGGGATTTGTTTACTCGTTTTTTTCGGAGCTTACGCCTTGTGCACATTGGGGGGCCTGGGCATGGACGAGGGGGCCCTCTGTGACCGTGTGTCTATGCTGGGCTGCATTGGTGAGTGAGGGGTGTGCAGACCTGGGTCACTGCCATCTGCCAAGAGCGATTGAGGCATCCCTAAGTCGTTGCAGTCTCACTCAAGTGTGAAGTAACAACCCACCTAGCGCCGCATGCGGAGCTGAATTCATAGCTGCGGTTCTGTTCACTCATTTGTACAAGTTGGCTGAGTAATCGTAAAGACAGAAATGGAGAACCATTAGATTGTGTTCACCTAGGACAGTTGTGTGGTTATCACTGAAACGGTTTCACTTAGCGGGGTTTCAACTCTCCATGTTTAGCAGCCTTCTTGCCATTTGCTCTGGCACCACGATTATTTTCCGACACGAATGATGTTTGTAAACATGAACATGTTCAAAGAGTGACTGAGAGAGTAACGCGAGCATGATTGGCGGGAGTGTCAGACGAGAAGCAGTTGCACCCAATGGTACGTGATTGGTCCTGAATGATGAGACATGCATTGAACATCAGATTCACGTAAGGGGTGAAGTTTAATTCCTCTTAAAACGACGTAATCCAAAGCACAAACAGATCTTGTAGCTAAACCCCTTTTCCTTGTCTCGGCCTTAATCTTTGTTAATGAGAACCATATCGTGAACTTTAAGTTAAGGTTAGGAGCTCTCTAGATATGTTGCTGCAGTGACACTTCCTGAGTGATTATGGGAATGTCACTAGCGCTTTGCTGGCTATATGTTGAAATGTTTATTACTCTGTACTTCAGCATTGGATTTATCAACGTCTGTTAAGTATGTATGGGTGTATGATTTGCCCACAGGTTACGAGTTGCTATTGCATTTTTTTGGACGTATTTTACATTTCCCAAGAGTTGCATCTCAATCATTGGTAGTTCATGCCTAATACAGTATAGCGGAACCACGCCGATTGTCTTGTAGTAAGGCCTGCATGCCATCGAACCCGGTGGATTGTGTGTTCTTTGTGTACCTGTGAACTCCACATGTGTATATATGTACATGTCCAGCACTTTCATCTGTACTCTACTCCTCAGGCTGTGTAGACTTTAGGGGTTATTTGACCAACACCTCAAGTTTCTCACCGTACAGAGGCAACCGTGCTAATCGGGGGTGTGGGAATATTGGTCAGTTCGGGTTGGTGAAGGCGGGGAGCGTAGACATGGAATCACATAAGTACGCTACAACAGTGGATTTTTCTGCATTGTCTTTTTTCCCACCATGAAGTGCCAAAACGTTTAACAACTACCTGATCTGCATGGTGGTCACCCATCTAGGTTCTAATCTGCTTAGATTACCAGCTTGCAGCGATCAGGGTCATTGCAGTGTGATTTGGTCATAGGTGCATGTCTTTGTGACTACCGTATGTCACAGCACCGCGCACTTTCCGATGTGTTCCATGCCCTTCCGATATTAGGAAGCCACTGGAGCTATTCCCTTTTTAAATCTAGATAAAAAACTATTTTTTAATAACTTTTTTTGTGTTTCATTTGTTGTCTTTCTCCTGCACCTCCGATTAGCATGGTTGGCTACATACGGTGCAAAAGAAGTTCAACATAGAAACATGTCTGGGTGCCACGTGTCTTTGTGAATGCCATGTGTCTATGTGATTACTGTATGTTTTATGTGGATGCTGCGTATATGTACAAAGGTGTGGTTATGAATTCCGGTGTGAGCTAAACAGCCTCGCTGTTACCTAGCAAAATACATCAGGTACCAGAAATAACATCAACAAAAATAGCCTGGTGGTGGTGGCACACGCCTGTAATCGAGCACTTGGGAAACGAGAGTTGGCGGATCATGTAGATTTGTGAAACTCCCAAACTATACTGAGTTAGATGTGAGTGGTTATGAGTTGGCAGTCCAGAAAGTGGGTTCCTGTACTCTACTAATCTGTGAGGAACTTTTGAGAGTAATCCAAACGTGTAGGTGGGGTTTTATTTGGGTATCTACAGTTCCCCCCCCCCCGCTATTCTTTAATGCACTTCCACAAATATTAGAATGTAGGGCCCTCATGTAAAATAATCGTGAGACTCAGTGAAGCTTCTCTGCACAAATGAATGACATTATTATTATGAATAAGTAAACAGATGTCATGTTTATTATGACATTGCCGCTGCTGTGTATGCATGAATGTTTGCATACGTGAATGGGCGCAATTTCATTGTGATATCAAAGCTTTGCCATTCATTGTCGCCCATAGGTATGTAAGGTTACATCGATTTATACATGCAAGTAAATTATTTTGCTCACAATACATGTATCAATTTGCGTGTATGAGAATTGATTATTTACAATTCATGAAAATTATACACATTGTACATGAATATTGATTTTGCCTCTTGCAGCAAATAAAGCTTAAGAAACGAGAAACAACACAAGACTGACATTGTTTTATTCTGAAATGGAATAGCAACCACAAATTGTGACAATTCATCAGATATCTGGGGCGGGGGGGGGTTAAATGGTTTCAAGCCTTGTCACCCGCCCCTCACAATCAAAGCGATCAGTTTGAGAACACCACCCTCCCGCTTCACCCCGGTGTTGGACAGACGCTGTCGGCACTCCCTCTGGGCATGGAACCGGAATCCGACCTCTATGGCTTCCCATGGGATGTCCTGCTGCTGTTCAGCCTCCTCCTCTTCCTCCTCGGCGCGGTCCACCTCTATTTCATCCGCCTACGGGTGAGCACCACTGGGAGCACAACGTGTCTTAAGTGGCCGGTGGAGAGGCCTCCTTTTCCTTATCCTCTTTATCCCTTCCTCCTCTCTCCCCCCGCCACCACTCCTCCTCCAGCTGTGTTTTCTCAGTGCTGCCACGTGGTCCCTTCTCTCTTCAGATAGACGGACGTGGGGTCGCCTTAGAGTTTATAATTCACATGTTTTATTGATCATGTGGCGGTGAAGTGGTTTGGCTCGTTTTTTATTTTTTTTACCGCTGATGTTGTATTCTCTTTTTCAGATAAAAAAGAAGTTTTGTTTACGTGAGTATTTTTATTCTATTTAATTGTGATTGTTGCATTGTGCCAATATTTTTTTTTACTTTTAGAGTCCGTTTCACATTGCTTGTTTATATGAACAAAGTTGGAAAAGCTAAACTATTTTGGTGGTAATTCGGGAATTAAGTCTAAATTTGGGTATCTCTTAAACTCGAACAATGCCAAAGTTTTTACTTTAATTAAGAGCATTTTACAAGACATGCTGAGATTTAGAAATGTGATCATGCTTGTGTGTCCCTGCATTCATATGCACTCACCGTGGACCAAGCTCTGGCCAGGCGGAGCCAAGCTGTTTGCGTTTAGAATTTACAAAACGGCGTCTCGTTTTCATCTCTTGGAAAATTGACGTCAGGAGATTATGGTTGCAAAATCTTTTGAAGAATTTTGCTCGTTGAGTTGCGTGACCTCATCTGCAGAGGGGGGGGGAGCATTTGTTTGGTTTGCCACGACGCATCCGTCACTTGCGGCTAAGAGCATCCTTGTCCGTGTTTAATCTGCTGCTTGTCCAGTGACGGAGGCACAGCTCGTGGATACCATCAGGAGCCATATGGAGGACAAATCCAGGATGGCCAGCGATCTCCAAAACCTCCAAGCACAGGTGGGTGTCCGCAGGAGAAGTCAGGTGGTGAGGGCGCGGCTACCCTGTGTCAGTCTGGGGCAATGCGAACCAGCGTTTGGGTTTTAGTTTTGGCAGTGCCTCGGTATCGCAGCGATAGGTGTGCTCCACACTAAGCCAGTGGAACAGTGAACGGTTTTATTCCCACTAGAGGTAGCTGATAGGTTCTGCTCGGTGTTGTTATAACAAAAGTTTGCATTGAATGTGAAGTGGACCGTAAAGTCTAGGCATGTAACGATCCACCTTAAAATGTAATTAATGATTTATCACTACTTGGGTTACGATTCAATACAATAATCGAACCTTTTTTGACTCGTTCACACGGACTTATTTGTATTTTAAATTTTTTATCGTTAGTCTTGTTTATTTAGTTTTATTTGTTTTGCTTTTGTCCTTATAGTGGCCGAGGTCACTCTTGGGATGAGGCTACATCCTGGTTTCTTGAGCTCTCACCTTGTTAAATAAAATAAACGTATACTGCTTTAATCGTTCCTTTACCTTTAAGGTACCTAAGCTGTTAATCTAACCTATAAATTGCTGACATTGAAATTAGTTAGTTCTTGCATTTGCGATTTTACGCATGTAACATAAATGTAATCTATTTTATTTAATGAATTGCTACGTGCCAAGTGTCCACTGCAGGAGCCAACTAATGGTAGTGCAACCCCACGTGTTTGTATGGGCTATAAGGACCCCCGTTCGTGTTTCATGAGAACCGTGCCTCGCTAGCTTAGTTGTAGTCAGCGCGTTAAACACTCAGTCTGTTAGAATATTGAACCGGTAGTGTCCACACGGTATTTTTCACTGTACATAGCCAGCTATGTTCATCGGAGGTGCGGGGGGAAGTGTATACAGAAGTGTGCAATATTATACAAAGTGAACAGTAAAGACTCTGTGATATATTTACAAGAGTAAGCCATCGTGTCTGAAATTTTTCAATAAATTTCAGTTAGTGATTTTCTACGTCAAACTTAACTATGCCTCTCACTGGAGATTATCTAAATGGGCTGTCCATTTGGTTAAGTAAAGAACATTTCACCAACAATTGTCAACAGCTTAACCAAGCACTGTGTAAATATGTGATAAGGTTGCTGTGGGAAAGAGGAGGGCTGACGCCTTGTTCAAGCCATGGATCGGAGTCCTTGTTTATGAGCTGCACTATAGCTGAACCCGCGTTAACGCCCCTTACCCGGGGCACTGTCACGAGTATTGGGGATGAGCGGTGCCGTGCTTTTCGCGTGCGCTGTGTGCGAGTCCACCCTGGTTGTGGCTCTGCTGCTCAAAAAGTTGCTCCCTTTGCTCGCTGCCGCTCACAGCTCCAGGAGAAGGACCAGGAAATCAAGGATGCGATTCGTTTGGATTCGACCTCGGAAGAAATCGAAGAGCTCCAGGTAAGTCAATGGGACGCCTGCTTGCTGGTACATATTAGGGCTTTGTTTTCCGCATCAATTCGGTAATTGCAGTGATGGTTGTCGCTTCCGGACAGTTTAAAAAGGAACGCATACAACACGGGTGGGGAACCTACTCCTTCCTGAGGGCCTCATAGGACTTTAGATTACATTTTGGCAGGCAATCGCACATGAACACACACACCCAATGAAAAATATATACCGAGGATTCTCCTTTGTCGCACTAATGCGATGATGCCTTCACCTGATTTCCTGTCACAAACGTGTTGATGTCGGGCCGCAGCTCTCAAGTAGATACGCGGCTAAAGTTCTTGGAAATGATGGACAAATGTAATTTGCGCGCCATTTCAAAGTGGTCGGCCCTTGTATGGCCGTGGGTCATATGGAATAAAGTTGCGGGCGATGTCCGGCTCGTGGGTCACGGGTTCCTCACCCATGACGTAGTACAGGCATACCCCGGTTTACGCTCAGGGTGAGTTCCTGAAAATCAGAACGTAAATCGAAAATACTTAAATCTAAGGAAAGGGATGGGATGTGGATCGTAACATTGTACAGTCCCTAAACAGAGGATGCTTTGTGACCCATTGTGCATCTATACTGTATAACCGTCAGTGTGAAAAGTAAGTGTATATTGTTGATATATTAAGATATATCAACTTGTCTATTATACGTTATAATTTTTCGTTGTTTATCATGTAAAAAGTCGTTGAAACTGATATAAAAATGGTCGCCATCAATGTAGTATTTGGGAAAAAAATATTTAGACTACTATAGTCGGGGATGCTAACGCTTGGGCACCATCTGGCACCTGAATGTCACCGTGCAAAGTAATAAAATTGGGGTTTAATGTAAAAAAGTTTGTAAATCTCAAGTACCTTATGACAGTACTTAAAGCGGGATTGGGTATAAATAAGTTGAGTACGTTATAGTGAAACTACGTAAAACTGGAAGGTGTAAATGGGGGTATTGCTGTAGACCGTAGTCTACGCTAAACTGAACTGATTTGGCAGTTGCACATCGTCTCCGGCTGCGAGGTCCGTCAGGGTGTGCCGGCCGAACTGTTTGTTGCCCTGCACGTGCTGGAGGAGGAGGCTGTTGCATAGCTCTGTGGCTACGTGGACTGACGTCCGCTCACACAATATAATATGAACAAACATGTATATTTCTTGCATATCCTGGCGCTTTAACTTAATGATAGTCACGTGTAAAAGCATTCGCTAAATAAATGAATAACGATGGGGCTAGAGGAAGTTGCTGGGGCCTGGCACGTGATCCATTGTGGGTCTTGTGGCGTGCGTTTGTGATTGGGTGCAGAGTGAGCGCGACCGTCTCACCGACGCCAGAGAAAAACTGCAGCAGGAGCTGTCCCAGGTGAAGGCAGACCTGGAAGAGGCGAGAGAGAAAGAGAAGCAGTATGAGAAGGAGGTAAGGGTGCTCTTCCAAAAGAGCTTTAAAATGATGGTTCGAAACGTTTTGGGTTTTATTCATTCCTTTAACACGTCGCACGACGAGAGCATGCATCTTGACTGACTGTACTAATAAGACCGAGGAGAGGGGTTAAGTGTATGCACATTGAAAACGGTAATGGAGACAAGTGGTGTCGTAATGAAACTGTTCGTTCCGCAGTTTCTGGAGCAGACGCAAAAGGCCCAGGTGAATGAGGAGAGTACTGCTGTCATGAAGGCTCAGATTGCGCAGGTAAGCCTGAGATGTAAATATAAGTAACGCTTCGTTGAGCGAGTTTATTACGGTGATTGATGCCGCGATTGTTCACAGGGACGCTGTTGGTGGGCTGCAGCTCTAGCGAGTCTTGTGGTGTTTGCAGGCCAATGGTGCGCTTGAGGAGGCCGAGAGGAAGGCTCAGAGCTTGGAGGAACGCATTCGCCAAATCGACGGCGAGATGAAGGCCCTGAACCAGCGCAAGCAGCAGGTCTGGCTAAAGCCTTCACTCATCACACGATTGCCTCACGACTAATTAGTTAATTTACACGTTGTACATGTACAGCACTTTTGCCTGTCCACTGCTCACTGAGGTCTTTCCCGCACCCTGAGGCTCACAGGGGTCACATCGTGCTTCACCACACTGGTCAGTGTGGATTGGTGAAGGTGCTGAACTTTCAATATACGTTGCAGTAGAGTACAGTACAACAATGGATTTTCCTGCGCTGCCCTCTACTGCCCACAACGTAGCCTGAAAGCCCCTTGACATCTGTTGTATGCATGGTGGTCTCCCGTCAAAGCAACTTTGCAGGCTCCAAACTGCTTATCATTCTGGGTGATTTGGTCACCTGCCTTTTACTTGTTTGACATTCCTTACCTGTGAGCTTATAAATAAAGACGCAACTCAATAGATAATTTAATCTTATTTTGTAGATACGGATCTAGGCTGAGCAATTCTGTTTGTCCAGTGTAAGTTTGAAGTTTTTTTTACACGAAAAAAGGATTTAAAGTCTCAGCATTCTGTCATAGCACGTGATTGATGTCACTACTTTGACCTATTCAAAAGCTCTGATGTCAGTAGAGTTGGATATCCTGGGCCGCACAGCTTTTGTATATGCTTACATGATAGCAGATATTTTAGGTTACATATTCTGTTACCTATTAACTTTTTTATCTGTCTCGTCTCTATTGTTTTCTAAATTACAGTCACCACTTTTTTGGCTTTATTTTTTCATAGCAATTACCTCGTTTATGTGCGGTGTTAGCTGCGTGATTGTTTATGCCGTGTTCATATTGGTGTCCCTGAGACAGAGAAGGCGTTCACCCTAATTGACGTCCCTGTGGCTACGCACGGCCATGTGCCGTTTGTGCGTCTTCGACTGCCCCAGGTTGAGCAGGAGAAGGTGCAGCTGATGGAGCAGATCGCCGAGCTGCAGGAGCAAATGAGCCTCATGCAGAGGAGCATCCGAGACCTCAATGAATCGGTGACCATCAAAGACAGAGAGATTGAGGTGAGGTCGCATGGCCCGACGCCTCGCGCCTCGTGAATTTTGTTGGACCCTCAGTTGTGATAATCAGGTTGCTTCTGAGAAATCGTTAATACCTCAGTGGGCTTTCTCTGGGTAGGATGGGGATGGTTTAGTTTTATTTGTATGTTTTTGGCTGATTTGGTTGCCTTCTTGGCCGTGACCTTTTGCTGGGCCGGGAGGCAACTATACAGCTCGTCACAATTGTGTGCCAACAAGATGGCCAGTTTGAAATTGATTCCAGGCCTTTAAGATTCAAGATTTACAGCTGCACAGCGCGACTGTTGAAATGTTAGTGTGGTTGTCACCCTAAATCTGTTTACTGTTCTGTAACTTTATTTTGTGATTTTACTCTTATCAGTCTAAGAGGAAGCTGCATGAGCCAACTTACACTATCAGGAATTTATAATTTAACGTATAATTATGTTTGTGCAATATTTTCCATTTGAGAGTTGGTTTTGTGCTGATATCTATTTGCATCATTGCTGTACTTAATTTTCTTTGTTTTACTTTTGTCATTCTGGTGACCCAGGCCACTTGCAAATATTATTTATCCTAGACTCTTGAGTCCTCACATGATTAAACACAATTAACTTGACCTTTATGGTTATTATCAGGCAATGTGAGTAGGCACAGCTGCCAGGAGCACTTGCCACAAAATCTACTTCCCTTCAGAAGCTTGTTCATGAAAGATACAGCTGAGATATTAACAGCTCTTATCGTGTATGTACATACCCCGTAGGCTCTCTTGTCCTGGGCTGTTTATAAAATACGAGATTGAAGCTTTCAGAATGAAAAAAATACTTGAAGGTTATGGTCAAAATATCCATTCTAACACTATAGTGATATCACTATGATATCATGTTTTTACATGTTAATGAAATTAAACTCAGCAATGATGTCACTTTGGGGGCGACAGGGTGGTGCAGTAGTAAAGCCCGTGCCTTGCAACAAAAAGGGACTGGGTTCGATTTATGACTTGGGCGCCTTTCTATACGTGGAGTGTATGTTCTCCTGTCATGCATGGGTTTCCTCCGGGTTCTCTGGTTTCCTCCCCATAGCTAACAAAAAAAACCCCATACCAATGCTGAAATTTACCTGGAAATGTCTCAATCGGGATTACACACAGCAGCGACATCGCCTCCCTACTGCGAAAACTTAGTAGGACCATGCTGAAAAGTCTTGACTCAATGAGGCTTTCCTGGGTACACAAGCACAACACTAATCATTATAAATAACAGAGTGCCATTGAGGTGTGCTTGGCCAAAGGTTAAGCCTCTTTTCTGAGACACACAGTCAAGGTACTTAACATGATAATGTACTGCCTCTGCTGTTGCTCTGCACAGACTCTGAAGGAAAGCTTCCTGCAACTCAAGGAGCTGGACTCGGACTCTGAGGATGAGGGGGCCTCTGGGGAAGAGCACGCTAAAGAAAATATGACATCTTCAAATTGCAATAACGGTAGAGTGAAAGGTTTGTTCGCAGGCTCCGTTGTAGACCACATTGCTCTAGATATTGATAATTGGGTGACCTTTCACGTACGGGTTTAAGAAATAAAAGATTGAGTTACCATCACATGTTAAGGGTGCAGGAACAATTGGTTCCTTCAGGTTATTATTAAATATATACATGTTTATTTGAAGCTTTCGTGACTGCAGGAATCCATATTCTTTGGTTCTTTCGGTCAAGTCACGTAGGTAGAAATAAAATAAAATGAAACATATCACGACGTTTCGTTCGCAGCAGAAGCGGCCGTCATTGCCTGATGACGACCGCTTGTGTTGCGATTGAAACGTCGTGATTTGTTTTATTTTATTTCTAACTACGTGACTGTACCGAAAGAACCAAAGAGTATATACATGTTTATAACGGCGTATTACTTGGAGGAGGTCATTCCGGAATGAATATATTTTGATGGAGAAGATGAACATTACTGCACACACAGGTTTAATTTTTATCTTTATTTTTTTCGATTGATTTTGTTTTGACTGTCAACTTAAACTTTAGTGCATTACCTCTGGTTGGATTTAAATGGCACACATTCTATTCACGTGTCTTGATCATCGTTTGACTTGAAAATTTTTTCATTAACGCTTGTGCTTAACCAGTCCTCTTAATTATTATTTGTTGGTGCCTTGAGATCTGTTTGAGATTTTGAGTGATTAATGAACACAAATTGAGGATGATGATGATGAAGAATTTGAATGACATGTTGCTATCATGGTGACATTTTAAAACATTTCGCTGATGCACTTTCTAATGGTCGATCCACAAAGCACGTCATGGGCATATATTAACGTCTTATTTTTGTTTTTAAATTAGAAACAAGAAAGGACAAAGTGAAAAATCTGCTGGATGCCACCAAGGTGGGTGGGTGGATCGCTTAAACGAATGTGGCACTGGCTGCTGCATGGTGTTCGGTCAAAAACCAGAGCTCTGTACGCTTTTCAAAATGCTTGTGGTTGTCACACTTGTTTGAACTCTGACTGCAAAATATGTGCCTTTATTCGCCCATTTCTTGAGTCGTGCGTGTGCTTGCGTCATAATGTTTATAAATCATAATGTGATTCGAACACCGCTGTTGTCAGTGTGACTTGGAGAGTTGTAGAGGTTGACTTTTATGAAAAGTCCCATACATTCCCACCCCTTGCCTGAAGCCCCTTGGCCTCTCAGTCGAATATGGAATTGTAGGCATCTGTAATGGGATGGGGCTGGGGGTGTAGAGTCTCTGACCTCTCCAAGTCAAGTTTCAGGCAGGCAAGCAACAGGCTCGTCTGACCCCCATGTATATACAAAGCATGCAACCTTACACACATTTATATGTTAAGTGTCAATTTGTGTCTTCCAGACGGTAGAAGGTCTCATGAATGTGGCCAGAGTGAGTTGTTTGAGGTTTATTTTCTCTTGCGTCCGATGCGCTTTGCTTGCCCCCCACTTCCTGTCTGCATGATCGCTCCACGAGGCTCTTGTCGCTGTGAGCCCCTCGGGACTTTGTGCTGTGACCTCCTTCCGGCTCGCGTGTTGGGAATCGTGGCATGCCGCCGTGGATTTTGTGGGAATCTCGCAGCTGGTGGCGTCACGCCCGCAGGATATTTTTTTGTAGGAAGTGTGGCTCTGCAGGAGTCTGCTGGGTGGTGCTACTGAGCATGTTTGTTCTGTTTCGTGGCCTTTGTTTTGTTCTGAGGCCTTTGTTCTGCCGCTGAATGTGCATGCCCAGGCTGACACTCCCACTGTTTGTAGCCATTGGCAAACAGGAAATGGCAATAAAGTGACTGCGAAATGAAATTAACAATGGGGCAACATTCTGGCTGGGAAGGTTTACCCGAGAGAACGAACGCATGTCAACTCGATCATGACCCAAATTTATTTGAATTTTGTCGCTTTTTACCATGATTCATTATTGGATGGAACGGTCACCTGCTTTTAAGGCTTTGTTTTCAAAAAAATCCTGCAGCCATTTGCTTGCTCTTCTATAAAGCTGTGTGTGCAACATACCAATAATTTAAAAAACATGTGTCTTTAGCTCAACACAAAGTTGAAGATCGCTGAAGAAGAGAAGAAAAAGACATGGGAGAAGCTCGCGTACGAGATGAAGTCACGGAAGGAAGTTGATGGTAAATCTGCAGTTGCTATTGGTTCTAAATGCAGCACACTGCAGCCATTCCGTCGAGCTCAAGGGGGAATGATTGCCGTATGCCTCACAAAGATTTTAACGGCTCCACTAATCATAAACCATATTCTGGCGAAAAGTAGTAAAATAAACCCCACATCTTGCATGGTTTGCGGAGGCCTTCATCCAGCAGTGGACTGACAAGGGCTATACGTGTCAATATCTTGAGCATGGTGTGATGCATGACATCAGCCACTACCGTTTGTCTTTGGCCCGGAATGTGTAACTAAAGTGGGTTGCTGTGAGGACGTGCATAGGCTACGGGGGTGCAACTTGTCTCTGCAGCTGAAATCTACGGGGGGTGACGGGGGGGGGGGGTTGTGAAGTTGATTTTCAGTTCCAAAATATCGGCCCCCACCCCTCCCCGGCCCCCCACCCTCGCCACACGACCCTAACCGGCACTGCTGCCCTGCAGATCTGGTGAAGGGCCTACAGTCGCAGAGCGAATCGATGAACGTCGAGCGGGAGGAGGCGAAGGCCGAACTGCAGCGCACAAAGCAGCAGCTGGAGATTGCCACGCAGATGTTTCACGAGAAGGAGATGGACCTGCAGAGGTGAGCCGCCTCTCTAGCGCGCGCTCGGACCACTGCTCCCTCTGCTTTACACTAGGGACGTTTCACGGGCACGGGTTGTGAGGCCTGCACACGCTTTGCACAGCCATTCCAACGAATGTGATAACGTGGCAGCCACTAGCTGGTGGGATAATGGCATGTTGTGCTTTGGCAAATAGCGTTAGTCCGTGGACGCGCAAGGGCTTCGCGTGAAGTCTGAATGTCGAATGTGCGTGGGTTTGTAAATGTGTTTATTGGAATACATTGCTCTGGATCAGAGGTAGGTGAATTTTATTCCTGGCCTTGGTTCATATCATTGGCGGGTGATCTCTCAACCGATTATGGGCCCCCCATAAGTCTACTTGGTCTTAAATGAGTACCTGGTGCAGAATGCAGACATCAACATTGGGGAGACAAAAGTGGCTGGGTGTGGTGCCGGTCACACCTGGTCATCGTGCGCCCGTACTAGCCTTTATTATGTGCCCAGCGAGCAGCACTTGCTCCCAGTAGTCTGTACGGCTATACGGGGCGTCTTTCGTGTGTGCTTACGTGTCAACACGCGTACACATGCACGTACGTGTGTGTGTTCGTGTGGCCACGCAGGCGACTGATGCAGGAGGAGCTTCAGCGTGAGCAGAGGGAGCAGGCCATCTCTGCTGCAGACGAGAAGATGAAGAATGCATTGGAGGAAGCCAGCCTCTACAGGTAAGTTTGCCACCACTGTTGGGCAGCCATGCTCGTACGGACGTCCGATCCCTTTAATGCGGAGTAAATATCATCATTGCGATTGGCTTATCCTGTAATGCCTCTTGTCAGCAGAGTTCTGAATTGGGATGTTTGCCCACTTCATTTTTGAGGAGAGTTTGCGTGTAGGAGGAAACACAGGAACCTGAATAAAACCGTACATGGTGATAACACTCAATGGTCCGCACAGACTTGATTCCCGAACCCACTTGCTGTACTGTCTTATAGCCACCTTGTTGTCAAGATGGGTTGTGACGTTTCACTCGTCATTGTGCCGTGCGTCGTTATCTCTGGATTGCAGGATATCCTCCACGTCAGACTTTACAATATATTCACTGCATTAATTATTTTATTTTAGGAAACAAGTTCAGGACATTAAGGAAGAACTTGAAAAAACAGAGCGCTCATACAAGACTCAGGTATGTGGTTGTCCAGTCGTCGTTGTTGCACGAGCACTCATTTGGTTGCGAACGTTCGCCGTAACGAGTTGGGTGTGATGGGAGCGCCGTGTTTGTGTTTTTATTTTTTGTTAGCTCGCCGCAAATGATCACAAAGCGCACAACAACTGGGTAAGTATCCTCATTGCAAAAATTCCTTGTGCACGCGCACATGCTTCTTATTTGCCGTCTTCTCTGGCTTTTTAGCAGCTGTCTCCTTAATGTACATCAAGGTCATAATGGTATACTCCCCAGGGGTAATTAAGTGCTAAGAACCTGTCTGTTTGTGACAGTTTTATTTTTATACGCACATTTGCGTGTAACCCGCAGTGCTCCAGCAAATCACTACCTTATTTACTCACTTTATTGTTGAACGTGCGATGCGCGGTGTGACTCGGGCGGCCCTGCCTGCACACTGCACCGTCCCAATCAATCCTCGTTTTAAAACAAATCACGAATGAACGATCAGACAACCGGACCGGTGCGCCGGGTGTGTTGTTTGCGGTGGGCCGTTTGCGGTGGGTTGCCCCCGGACTGTCTTCTCAGCCGATCGGCCGTCGCGCCGCCTCGTTCGGCACACGTGGGGACACCAGACGGCCACTTTGTCTTTTAAGCGTGGCGTGCGCGCGCTGCGTCCCGTGCACGCGTACTTGCGCGTCGTCGCCACACGTCATATGTAAAGCGGTTGGTGTGATTGTTCCGTTGGCAGGTGGCGGCGCGGCAAGCTGAGCGGGAGCTGCTGAATGCCAAGAGGGAGGCGTCAAATCTCAGGCAGAGGTGAAGCGTGAAATTGAATTTCCCCGCGGCTGGCCCGTGCACAAGACGGACTTTGGGAAATGTTTCTGTTTTTTCTTTTATCTCGGCCTATTCCTAACGAATTCAGTACATTTCATTTTAACAAGGTCGCATGCAGCTGATAGCCAAAATATTTAGCCTTCGAATGCCGGAGGTTCTAGACACAACACGTGCCGCAGAGGCGGTTTCATGCTTCAGCCAAACCACTTTCCCGGCAGTGTCTCTCTCTGTTTTTCCTCGTTAATGCTTTGATTCATCATCGAGGTCCCTCTTCCTCCCACAGGGTGACAGACATGGAGTTGAGGCTAAACCAGGAGCGCCAGGGGCAGCAACCACGGGGCCCCCCCTCTGCACGCAGGGGTGAGTCGGCTGTGATAAGGCCACGCGGTGTCAGGGATCGGGGTGGACAATGCTCCTTTGTCATCATACAATATGATACGATCAGGATTTTAAAACAATACAAGGCCAACCTTATTTCAAGACACTGATGAGCATTAGATTGTAATTCGGGGTGCCTTGTGATCTGCGAGTTGGAGTATGGGTTTGTGGAATGGTCTGGGTCAGAAGTGAAGGGTTATGTTTTATGATGGGTATATTGGTCTACAAACATATTCTCTTCTCTCAGGCTATTCTGAATATTGTCAGTACGATTAATTTTTGGTTCTATTCGGTAAAGTCACGTAGGTAAAAAATAAAACAACAAAAATCACGACATTTCGGCCACAACACAAGTGGCCTTCATCAGGTGAAGGGACCAAACTGTCCAGCGGACAGCGTTGGAGTGAAGAAAGCCAAGCGCTGGTCGCCTCCTTTTAAGCTGTGAGGGGGTAAACAGTAAACGCCTTGACAAAGGAAATTAGTTTTCTTTGGTTCTTTCGGTAAAGTCACGTAGAATGAGAATAAAATAATAAATTGATAAAATAAAATAACACAGTAATATTCTCACGACGTTTCGGCCACAACACAAGCGGCCTTCATCAGGTGAAGGGGCGAGACTGTCTGGTAGGACAGCGCTGGAGTGAAAGAGCCACGTTCAGATCACTGCCTTTAAGCTGTGTGAGAGGAACAAAGTGCCTTGACAAATGAATTAGCATATAATTTAGCATTGAAATGGCTGAATGATTAGCTTGTGACTGGTCACAGAAATAGCTATGTTAAAAGTTAAAGCATACACATCCGCAGAGGCACCCATTGTTAAAGGAATTAGCATAGAATTTAGCATTGAAATAGCTAAGTTAAGGCATACACATCCGCAGAGGCACCCCTTGACAATGGAATTAGCATAGAATTTAGCATTGAAATAGCTGAGTGATTAGCTTGTAACTGCTGCAGAAATAGCTACGTTAAAGTCAGAGCATACACATTCACCGAGGCACTTAGTACAAATCAAACAGGAGAATGGTATAGTTTTACAACATGGAGTATACTAGAGCCTCGCAGCTGTCTCTCTCCCCCTCCTCTCTTCCGACCATGGACGAACTCGTCCGTCTGAACGGGGCCCGTAGCTATCCGTGGTGCTGAAATTTGAGGGTAAGAATCCACCCATTTTCTCGCCATATAGCATTGTGATATATAACGACTTATTGTTGGTAGCTTAGCTGATTGGAGAATATAGAGTTTATTGATAACATGAAGGTAATTTATATTTTAGTTTTTATTGGTTCACTATATAGTACTGTGAATAGCTCAGATGTGTAGTCATTTCTGTGACCAGTCACTAGCTAATCACTCAGTTATTTCAATGCTAAATTCGCCTAGTTATTTCAATGCTAAATTCTCCTGTTTGATTTGTACTAAGTGCCTCGGTGAATGTGTATGCTCTGACTTTAACGTAGCTATTTCTGCAGCAGTTACAAGCTAATCACTCAGCTATTTCAATGCTAAATTCTATGCTAATTCCATTGTCAAGGGGTGCCTCTGCGGATGTGTATGCCTTAACTTAGCTATTTCAATGCTAAATTCTATGCTAATTCCTTTAACAATGGGTGCCTCTGCGGATGTGTATGCTTTAACTTTTAACATAGCTATTTCTGTGACCAGTCACAAGCTAATCATTCAGCCATTTCAATGCTAAATTATATGCTAATTCCTTTGTCAAGGCGCTTTGTTCCTCTCACAGCTTAAAGGCAGTGATCTGAACGTGGCTCTTTCACTCCAGCGCTGTCCTACCAGACAGTCTCGCCCCTTCACCTGATGAAGGCCGCTTGTGTTGTGGCCGAAACGTCGTGAGAATATTACTGTGTTATTTTATTTTATCAATTTATTATTTTATTCTCATTCTACGTGACTTTACCGAAAGAACCAAAGAAGATGAATCATTGCAGTCACGAAAGCTTTAAATCGAAAAAGGAAATTAGCATAAAACGTACTACTGACAAAGCTTGGAATTAGCATAAGGTGATAATACACCACCTTGGAAGTTTGCAGTGCCACTACTAGAATAAATATACTGTACCATTGAAAATTAGTTTAATGTTTGGTTCGATTTAGAACATCTTTCCAATGGTTGCTTAATTTGAAACCCTCTTCTCGGTTGAAATTGTTTCTGTGTTTGTAAATCTGAATTGCCTCGTGGGCAAATCTCTGATGATAACCTGTCGGTTTGCAAAGGACCTTGGTATCGGAGAAAATTATATCGTGATCACCCACAGCGTTGTAACAATGATCAGCTACGGCAGAAGAATTCGTTCTGCCGTGTTTCAAATTTGATTTGTGCTCGTGAATTCGGTCAGAGACATGTCGTTTCGTCTCCCCGATATAGCAATCACCGCAGGTACAACTCAATTTGTAAACCCCGGGGTACTGTAAGTCAGGAATGACATCCTTCACGGATGGGATCAGGTCACGGATTTTGTGTACTGTATTGAACTGGACCAGGATCTTGTGTTTGTTTAGAATTTTGGAGATCTTTTTAGTAACGCCTGCTATATATGGTAGTGTGATGGTTTTGACCGGAGTATCAAGTGGTTGTTTCTGTATGGAGGGAGAAACAGCTTGGCGGATGGTACGGTCAGAGTATCCGTTTCTCTTGAGGGCCAGCCAGATGTACGTGTTTTAATTCACTGGCCAGGTGGTGTTGGTCCGAAATGCAATGAGCCCTGTGGTATAACGTTTTGATGATAATTATTTTTAGTCGGGTGGTGGTGGGAATCAGGTTTCAAGTAGGAATCTGTGTGGGTGGGTTTCCTGTAGACAATGTCCCAATGAGCCATCAGGTCTCCTCTCAAACAGAACATCCAAGAATGGCAGCTTGCCATCTTTCTCCACTTCCATGGTGAATTTGATGGCGGGATGTCTGGAATTGATGTGGTGTAGGAAGAGGTTCAAAGCTGGGAGGCCATGTGGCCAAATGACGAAAGTGTCGTCTACATATCTCTTTCGCAGGGAAGGTCTGAGGGTGGAAGTCTGGATGGCGTCTGATTCAAATTTCTCCATGAAAACATTGGCTATCACTGGTGATAAGGGAGAACCCATGGGGGTACCCTCATTTTGTTTGTAGAAGGTGCCATTCCAAGTAAAGTAGGTATTGGTGAGGCAGTGTCTAACCAGCGCAGGTGTATCGGGGTCTAGTCCATGTACCAAATTTTCTTCAATTATTTCAATGGCATCAGGTGCTGGGACCTTGGTGAACAGAGAGACCACATCGAAGCTGACAAGGATATCGTCGGGGGACAGTACAACGTCTTTGACCATAGAGACCAATTGGGCTGAGTTAAGTACTGCTGAGGAGGTCTTGCCAGTGAAAGGTAGCAAGGTATCTGACAGAAAACGTGCTAGCTTATTGGTAGGGGAGTTGATCGTGGATACGATGGGTCATAGTGGGGTGCCTTCTTTATGAATCTTGGGGAGACCATAGAATCTAGGGGGTCTTGCAGCAGAAGGTTTTAGGGAGGGACGTTTAGTTGGTTCGATTAGGGAGGTCGAACTTGTGATGATCTTGTTGGTTTTTAAAGTTAGGCTATTAGTAGGGTCATTTTTAATTTTTGAGTAACTTCCATCGTTGTGTAGGTTTTGGATTTTGTTGTTGTACGAATCTTTATCCATAATTACAGTGGCGTTGCCTTTGTCGGCTGAGAGGATGACTATATCATTTCTATTTTTTAAATTCGCGAGTTCAGAGCGTTCATTTTTGCTGATGTTGCTAATGGGTTTCTTAGCATTCTTGAGAATAGTGGCTATTTCAGCTCTCGCAACGTCTGCTTGGATGTGTCCTACGCCTGATCATTGTTACAACGCTGTGGGTGATCACGATATAATTTTCTCCGATACCAAGGTCCTTTGCAAACCGACAGGTTATCATCAGAGATTTGTCCACGAGGCAATTCAGATTTACAAACACAGACACAATTTCAACCGAGAAGAGGGTTTCAAATTAAGCAACCATTGGAAAGATGTTCTAAATCGAACCAAACATTAAACTAATTTTCAATGGTACAGTATATTTATTCTAGTAGTGGCACTTCAAACTTCCAAGGTGGTGTATTATCACCTTATGCTAATTCCAAGCTTTGTCAGTAGTACGTTTTATGCTAATTTCCTTTGTCAAGGCGTTTACTGTTTACCCCCTCACAGCTTAAAAGGAGGCGACCAGCACTTGGCTTTCTTCACTCCAACGCTGTCCGCTGGACAGTTTGGTCCCTTCACCTTATGAAGGCCACTTGTGTTGTGGCCGAAACGTCGTGATTTGTTTTATTTTTTACCTACGTGACTTTACCTAATAGAACCAAAGAGTATGGATCCTTGCAGTCATGAAAGCTTCAAATCTAGAAACGATTAATTTTCACAAGGTCGCATGCATTCGACGGCCAGAATAATCGGAGTCTGCATGCCGGGGTTTGCCAGACTGTTCAGGTGGTCCTGATATCCTCGTATTGTGGTGGAGAGTGGATGGTGGCATCAGAGAAGGTGCACAACTGATGTCACGTCACCGTGGTTATGTGCCCTTCACGTTGATGTCCCTGTGCCTAAGGCCCTCCAGCTCAGGAGGGATCTCTGCGCTCCTCGCCCTCCAGCAGCGGGCGCCCTTCCCCTCCGCTGGGAGTCGACGGGGCCCGCAGGCCCGTCTCCTCTTCTTCCAACCAAGGATTTCAACTTCCGCTTGAAACGTCGCCCACGTCGCAGAGAGCTCCGCGTCCGCCCCAGGATCTGCCGCCCGCCTTCGGCCCGGCGCCGCCGCTCATGAGCCCCACGCTGCATCACCGGCCCCCCATGCCACAGGGCATGAGCCTGGCACGAGGCTATGGGCCGTATCCGCCGGGCGGGCCCCTGCCGCCCCCGGGACCTCCGTACGGCAGCCCGGCTCCCGACCGCCACCCTGACGGGCCCTACCCTCCCTACGGAGCGGGCGGTCCACTTGGGCCACCCGGGATGTACGGTCCCCATCCTGTGGGCCCCTACGGGCCTCCGGAGCGCTATCCAGGGCCGCCGCATGCTGCTTGTGAGTGCCTTCTCAGGGAGCTTTGCCTTTATTATCGTTGTCAGTGCTGTAACACAAGTGAACAGGAGTCTAGAAAGGGAAATAACGTTGGGAACTAAACAATGTGAAATAATTCGCCTCAGTAGGTGTACATTGTAACAACCCAGAGACCGACCCATTGTGAGGAACTTCTAAAGAGGTGCAAATGAGGGCCTAACGATTAAGGGAACTAGCACAGTGATTGTGCAAGCACATGGCGTATAGTATGAAGAACTAAACTGAAAGGAACAGTGTCTTTTTGTAAATACGATGCTATTTATTTTCCAGATAAAATAACGTGGACCTGGAGAATAAACACAATGGAGACAATTATTGCTATTGCTTATACATTCGATTGGTTGTGATTACAGGAGTTGCTGGACCACGAGTGTCTACTGCACAGCCAAGTTGCACTGTACTCTTTGTGATCACGCGTCAAGGGTCTTGTATGGTTTACCAGAGGTCAAAGCCGTTTTGCCCTTTGAGTTTTTTCTGACGCAGCTTTTCGTGCGCTCTGCGTGTTTTACCCAACAGGGAGAGGCCCCCCTATCTACTCGCCCCCAAGGGGCGGTCCTCCCGGCGCCTTTCCCCCCGGCGTCGCCCCTCTCCCAACACGGCCCGAGGCGCTGGCCACCCCCGACGGCGTGAGCCGGGGTGCCCCGGATCAGGGCGCCCCGGGCAGCATGCCTCCCTCGAGCGCCGGCCCGGCCACGGCAACGCAGGCCGAGCCGTAAACGCGCCAAAACGCTCACCGCGTCTTTGAATCCTTTCAGTACTTGCCCCTCGCTCGATCGCTCTCTTGCTCGCGTCCGCCGTGCAACGAAGCCCAAAGAACTGCCGCGTTGCGTGTCCTCCCATCGCCAGACCGGGCCCTGGTACCGCGTGACACCGTATTAAAGTAACGGGCGAAGAGGGTGCACGATTGGTGTTCCACCACTGTGGGTGCGTGCCCTTCACAGTAACCAAACCGAGAGGACACCACGCATTTTGATACTGTTTCCACCATAAGTAATGTTTAGATGTTGCATATCCATCCCCTTGTTGGGAATTCCGAGGCAAGTGACCATGCGTGTCCACGGCGTCGCCACTTCGGGCTCCTCCTGCTTTAGTATCCTGGGCTATCGCAGACCATTCACAAGCGACGAAATATTTTAGTAATTTATGCCTGAAATGTGAGCATAGTGAAATGCTTATGTACATAAATAATAACAAAAAAAGAATACATTTAAATGGATGCATCACAATAATTGGACTGCCAAAAAAACCCCCAAATTTTGCCGAATCATGTATTCTAATAAAGTAATTTCTTTGAAAAAATAGTACAGTGGCTGCTTTATTTAACACGATTGTGCTGTGTTTAACAGGCGATTGAGCTTAACATCTCATGTTTATTCAGATTTTAAACAACCATTGATTGAAAGTGGGTACGTTGTACGGGAACAGAAGATGATGTTACTGACACGTCGGTCCCAAGGCTTTTTGGCAGCATTGCACACCCAAGATGGGTCTTGGGATAGAGTGTTGGCAGTGTAAATGTACCCTGTGATGTGCCGCTTGGGATCGTAGTATGCGCTGGTGTGCACACGGCAGTCCCCGTCACGGACACTGGGTAACGTGCGCCAGGTGGCTTTTTGAAATGGTCATTAATTTATATAATAAATTAGTTAAAGTTAATTTGCACAGCTGTATATTACCAACCCTTTGTTGTGTCACTGTGCTTTTTAGCCTGCACTCTCATCTCGCGAGAAGACCGTTCCCATTGCAATCTTCAATCGCACATCCTGCATGGCCTGAAATGTTACCCTTTGCCAGATTTTTGTATGTACCACTGCTTTTTCTACATGATTGTAAGAGAGTTGCACGAAGGCAAGATTTTGTGAGGAGTTTTGACGCTATAATAGTTTGTGCAGCGCGTAGCGATCGGTTGAAGTTGCTTTGTATTGGAGATTTAGAGAGGGAGCGCGATGGGTTGTGTCGTTTATTGAACACGTAACACATACGATGAGACATCTGCGGCAGACAATTCGGAGAGTGGCACATCACAACACGGCATACAGGGAGGAATCGCTCACGGGAAAATACTCAACATCTGGTCACTACACAGTTACTCTCACGAGACACGTGACACTACAACACAGAATTTGTAAAGTGATTTTAAATCTAGCACTTGCGAGTTTATTGAGCGTCTTCAGTTTAAAAAGATGGCACCTTCAAAGTTTGTTGGGAATGTTTTGGCCCCTTGCACATATATAAATATAACACTTTCCTAAAATACATGTCGGTGCTGCATGTGTAGCTTTGTCCAAATGAGTTTAACATTCACACGACAGAGTTTTTTTTGTATTGTGTCACCAATAACAACCACTGGCATGGCAGTTATCGTAATTAACATCTCCGATATTCCCGTTCCGTTTACCCAATTATCTGCACAATAGTCTGAGTCATCATCGTGGCCATGTGTATGAGTCATCTGCGTCTCCAAGGTGTGATGTCAAACACAAAGAGCAAAAATAACAATTGAGATGAATCGTAAAATAAAAAGCCGAGCTGCGGTTGGGTTTTCCTCGTCTGTGCACCCTGCCTTGACGAACGTTTCTGAAATCCTCCAGCCCTGCCTCGGTCCAGAGTTACAGCTCCTCTGCACGTATGAACTCTCACCCATTGTGGCCCCCTAAACGTGGAGTCATGAGCTCCCACTTAATTACGAGATAATTCTGATGTAAATCTGCATCATTCTGTAGTTCAGAAATGTGTGCCACTTAGGGGTGGCAAAACCCTAGTGGTACTAATTTATTAGACCAATGACGTAATTATGTTACCCTTAAAATTATGTTAGATATTTTACTACTTTAAACCATATCCTCGCGGTGTCAATAATGTTCAGGATGTTTGGCAAATTGCGCTTTTTCATGATGTGGGAGAATGCCGGAGTACCCAGATTAAACCCTAGCATTGGACAACTCTTGAATGTCACCATAGGTTAGAACCAATCCCAGATAATGACGACAATATTAAAGCCAATATTAGAATACCTCCCCTGATTTACATTTGAAGGGCGATGATTTAATTGGGTGGCTCGCGACTTGCTTAAGGAGGCAATCGCGACCCCATTCAGAGTTTCGTTCTATTTCCAGCAACGCGCGCGTGGGGGTCGAGGCATAATACTCACCGTGCGGAGTTGTAAATCCCCACCACCCACGCGTGGAAAACAAGGCACCAGAGCTGGGATGTTGGTGCATTGTTTTGCAGCCTAAGACCGATGAGTCCACCCTTGTTCATTAACCAAGACTCGGTATACAACATTCTCAATCTGGACAAAAGACAGACAAAGATCCCCCGTTTCGCCTTGATAGACTTTTGGAGCAAATGTTGTTAGTGAGCATTTACGAAGGCCGGAGTGGCACAGGAGGGGGTGGGTGGTCAGCACCACGCCCGTCCGCCTTTGTCTCCCGATTGGCGATGTGCACACCGCACCAGATATTCATTTGAGGCCGAGGCGGCCTATGGGAGGCTCAGGACCGGTTCAGATATTCGTCACCAATGTTGGCCGTGAACGGGAATCGAATTCGGCTCGTCCGTTTCGGAGCACAGCGCTGCACTGCCACTCTCAATCTGGAGAACACAACTGCACGGTAATTGTAAACGGATACAAATAGGTCGTAGGGAGAGTCTTTATATCACCACTACAACTGCAGGTTGCATCTTAGTCCTCAGCATGTACGCTGGGCTCGGGTGAAGTGACCTCATCTGCAGCCCACACGAGGTTGATTGCTGGTCCTGGGCTACCGACCACGTCCGAGAACCACGTTCGGCGGCCACAGCAGGTGAGTGTTGATCCTGCGCTCCAGGTCACAACCAGCAGTGAGGCCACGCACCAGGTGTGTGCCGTTGCTGTCCTACGGACCAAGTCTGGAAACCACTATCATCGCCACGAGCGGTCTAGAGGCCACACCAGGTTGATGCTGGCCCCAATCCCACTCTAGAGGCACGTGTTGGCGGTATCCTGCACACTGGCCCCTGCCGGCAAAGTCTCGGCACCGGGCACCTCCGTGCAGAAGAGCGCGGCAGGGCTCTTGCAAGCCCACATGGCGAGCTCTCCATTGCCCGGGCTGGACGAGGACACGCCGCTGCCCGCCCGCGCCGTGGCAGCCATCAGCTGCTGCCCCTGCTGCTGCAGCCCCTGGTGCTGCTGCTGCTGCCCCAGATGATGGTGCTGTCCTTGGTGCTGATGGGGCCGATCAGCGTAGCGGTCCCGCAGCCGGTCCGCCCGGCCCCTCCTGCCCCCTCCGGCCGCCCTTCCCTGGCTCGAGAGGTACGAGGCGATGGGGTTACCCGTGCGGTATCCATCCTCCCGGTTTCTCCCGAGCAGCATTGAGATGTTGGGGTTGCGCGCCGCGTAGATGAGCGGGTTGATGGCTCCGTTGGCCCACGCCATGCACATTGCGGCCGCGTCCAGGCCCGGCGTGAACGTGTAGCCCCCCGCGGCTCGGGCGATGCCCATGGCGCAGTAGGGCCCCCAGCAGACGATGATGAAGACGATCATGATGAGCACAGTGGTGGCCGTGCGCATCTCGCTGTAGAAGCGCAGCAGGTAGGCGTAGGTGGCCACGGGGCGCACGCGGACCTCAGAGAGGCGCACCGTCTTGCAGATGTTGTAGTGGCAGAAGCACATGAGGGCGAACGGCAGCAGGTAGCAGACGCCGATAAGAGCCACCCCATACGAGCTGCCCAGGCGGGACGGCGCCGCGGCGTGAAATGCGTACATGCAGTGCACGAAGCCACCGCGCCTCTGCTGCTGCTGGTTGCCCTGCTGCTGCTGCTGGTGGTGGGACCAGCTGTTGGGCACCTGAAGAAGGTACCAAGGCCCCGCCAGCAGGAGAGATCCCAGCCACACGGCGGCCAGCAGCTGCGCCGCGCGTCGCCGGCCGAGCTTCTTGCCGTGAGGTTGTCGCACGATGGCGCAGTAGCGGTCGCAGGAGATGAGCGTCATGGTGAGGGTGGACACGATGCCCAGGCACGTGTTGAGGAGGCCCGTGGTGGCGCAGAGTCGCCCGTCGCTCAGCAGCCAGCCGTCGTCTCGGGTGAAGAGCGAGGCGAAGGAGGGAGGCATGCACAGCAGGGCCGTGAGCAGGTCCGAGCCACTGAGGGACGCGATGAAGGCGTTGGTGACGGTGCGCAGCTGCCTGTGCTTGGCAATCACCAGCACCACGGCGGCGTTGCCGAAGAGCGAGAGGATGAAGATGACGAGCATGGCCAGGGCCTGCATGGCCAGCACCACGACCTCCTGCTTCCGATGATCCTCTTGCTGCTGACGATGATGATGCCGCTGCTGGTCCTGCTGTCCGCCGGGCTGCAGGGTGAAGCTGAACCACGGGCCACTTCCTGCCGGGGTGACGGAGAAGTTGCTGGGAGGCAGGTCCACGGTGGTGGCGTTGTGCATGGTCGAGGAGGATCTAAGTGGCGATGTTTGTAGTGGAGAAGGGTTCTGATTGTGAGGGTGGCCGCCTGGAGGAGGAGGAGGAAGATGAGGAGGAGCTGGAGGATGGAGGTGAGGAGGCTGACTTGGAGGAGGGTGGTGATGAGGGATACGAGAAGCAAAAGTGTGGAGGAGAGAAGGGAGCTGAGCGTGAGGATGAGGACCAGGACCTCGGCGGGATGAGGTGCAGGAGGATGAAGAAGAGCTGGATGAGTAGCAGGGGGAGAGGAGGATGATGATGTTGAGGAGGAATAGGGCGATTGCAAGCAGGGACATGAGGGTGAAGATGCTGATGTTGAAAAGGAAGAGGGTGATGATGATGCTGACGACCGTATTTGAGGATGGTGTTTACGAAGATGATGATGACGTGGACTATGCACGTCCGGCGAAGATGGTGGGCATGAGCAAGAAGAGCAAGAGCAATGTTACGAGTAGACGAACGGGGACAGCAACTAGGGTGAAGAGGTGCACACGCAGGCCAGAGATGCCTGCGGGAATAACGAGGAGGGCGCCGAGGCTGACGAACGAGGCCCGGAGGAGGAGGCCGCCGTGCAGTCGATCCCGAGGATGGAGGAGACATCACGGGGCTCGGACCCCGCTCTCTGCCGCGGGGCGGCGAAGCGGGGCCCCTGGGCTGGAGGTGGCAGCAGCATCCCGGCCTAGTCGAGGGAGGGAGGGATGGCTGAATGGAGGGAGGAAGGAGTGGCTGCCGGGATGAATGGACGGCTGGAGGGAAGCAGCGGACGGGGGAGGAGGGGGTGGAGGACACGAGGGAGGGATGTGGGATGTCGAGAGACGTTCAGAACTGGCCGGAGGGGGGAGGAAGGGCTGTAGGCGCGCGTGGAGGCAGGGACGTGTGCTGTGCCGCTGCGAGGCGCACGGGGTCTGTCTTCTTCGAGCTGACGTGGGCGAGCGGTTGCCATGGGAGTGACGCGTGCGGGTGGTGGTGCCGGGGTTTGGAGGAACCTTCTCCTCCTCCCCTCGTCCCTCCACCCCAACTCACGGCTCACGTGCAGCAGCCGTCAACATCATCATCATCATCCCATCCACAAACATCAGAATCAGCGGCATCGTCATCCGCATAATCCTGTATATAATATCATAATCCATTGTACACAATAATAATTCACTATACAAAATTATCAACTCATATACATCTTCATCTAATATACAGAATCATTATCATCCCGTATACAGAATCATCATAATCATCATCCGATATGCAGAAGCATAATCAGCATCAGCTAAGGTGTGGAATCATCATTCACGTGTTGAATCATGATCTAATATATACAATTACCATCCATTATACACACACACAGCTCACATTTTGGATGATATAGGCGGATACATACATCCAGTGTCTCTACCACGCACACACGATATACACAAACATGTGCTTGGACAACCGCATACGCAGACATATATAGTCACACACACGCACACAACAACCGCCGTTCGCCACTAAGTGGCGGTGACATCAGCCACGGCGCTTGTGCCAGGCTAGGTGCCCTTTGAGGTCGTCACGTGTGGTGCGGAATGCTCGCTGCTGGTAGGAAGTGACCGTGCGATGCAGCTTAGCCCTGCGATGATGAAATTATATTATATTCTACCTGATTAGAACGCGCCCCTGTTCAAGTGGACAGCCAACCCGTTCCCCAGCCTAGTTGTTGTGTCAGCTATGACCCCGCCGTGCCAGCAAAGGGGGCTTCATGCCAGGAATGGCGCCGCGGTGGTGAGATGTTAACTACCTCGCCTGGTATGCAAAAGGTCGTGGGTTCGATCCCGACCATGACGCCTGAATATTTGGGAGTTTGCGTGTCTCTCTCCCCGTGGTCGCGCGGACTTTTCTCCGAGACCTCCGGTTTTCCCCTCCACATTTCGGAACACGCGTTTAGAACATTTGGCTGCTATAAATATCCAACACGATAAGCCACTTCGTTGAGCTATCATTTGTGGCCAGGTCGCTTCTGAAAAAAGAAGAGCTATATCGCTCAGTGGGCCTTACCTGGTAAAATAAACACAAAACATAGCTTTAGTTTATAGTTTAGAATGCGTGTGGGCAGCAGCTGCACT